ACTAGAGCCCTATTAAAGCCTCATTTGTCAAAGAATAAATTGGGCAATATTCGAAACGTAATAAGTGCTATCTGGAGACATCTAATTGGGCCTTGTTCACAATTTATGTTGCGAGTATTATGGTAGCAGAGTGACATCATTTGTGCATGTTGTGGGAACAATTCATGTGGACTTAATAAAAATTTTAGAATATGAGATGAGTTATAGGCACAATAGGGTGATCCTAAACTAAAAATGTCTATGGTTGTAGATTTACTACAAATGCTGTACTATGATCTAATTAGATCTAAGCTTAAATTGAGAGAGACAAAGAGAACAAGAAGGAATGCAGAGGGGATGAGAGAGAGACGGAAATTGTACCTATAAACTATAGCAACTATAAAGAGAGGAAAATATGGATGAATGGAGATAATAAGAAAGAGAGAGGGACCTTTTGTTGTCGCAAAGTAGATGCTTTATAGCTGTATAAATAATCAACTGGGAAATTGTGGAAATCTTCTTGAATAGATGTAAAGTTCTTATATGCGATCAATATTTGTTTTGGCTAACTCTTCAACATGTTGGTCTAAAGCAGATTACTTATAGCTGCATCGACAATCAACGAGGAAATACTGGACTTCTTCTTCTTGAATAGAAGTAAAGTTCTTACATGTAATATCTATGAAAATCAATATGTAAAAGCTTCCCATTCGTCCATCCGTCTGTCCAGCTCACAATATGTGTCTTCATGTTTGAAATAAAGATTATTGAAAACAAACAGACATCATGAGCACATAAATTCACTTCTTCCTCTTCATCTTCGTTTTGTCGATCTGCAAACGCAGCCAAGGCGAACGCCTTCAATAAAAATTGAAGGTGGATCTGGCGGATCGGAGCTGGGCGCTGAACGCAAGTTGTGCTTTAATGTTGCAAGATGCATGTCTTTGCAACTTAACATATCCGGCGCCTAAACCTATCAACTGCTTGCACTGATTGCCCAGGATTGTGGATTGCGGATTGAGGATTGAGGAGCAGGAGGCTGAGCATGATTGGGAATGATGCCAGGCAAGGAGGCAGCCGCAGCAGTGGCGTCTGCTGCATGTCTGGCAGCCGTATTAATAATTTTAGCGTACGTTCGTTGATTTAGGGTGCATTTAAAGCGTGAACGACTGCATTAATAATTTCTTTTGCAATTTTATTGTGCATAAATTTCATTAATTTATAATTTTGTTTGATTTTTACTGCGACTAACATCCAACCCGCTGCTTCGCTCCAAGGAGCATGTTGCGCCAATGTGTTGCTGCGCATCGCTGACTGTTGCTGTTGCTGCTGCTGATGCTGCCGCTGCTGCTGCTGATGCTGATGCTGCTGCTGACTGGGGGCATAAATTATTTAGCCGTAGTTTTGGCAGGCGCCCGTTGACCGCGCGCTGCGTAGATTTTGCGATTGCGCACCAAGTGAGGGCTTATCCACATTTGTGCCGGCGTCGTCCTCTCTGACCAGGCACAGAGCTCACCCTGCTGCTGCCGTTGCCGTTGCCGTTGTTGTTGCTGTTGCATTTGTATATTTGTATTTGTATTTGTATTTGTATTTGTTGCTTTTTTTGATGTTTGGGCTCCATGCTTCATTGAGAAACTTATGCGGTTGTCGCTGTTGTTGGTTGTTGCCTGTTTGGCCGTTTGGCTCTTTGCCTGTTGCCAGTTGCCTGATGCTGGTTGGCTGCGGCCAATGCAGAGGTCCTGCAGCTGTGCCCGGCATGTCGCCTGCCAATGTCTTCGGTTTGTGCCCGCGCAGTTAATTATAAAAGCTTGGACATTTTCGCTTCGGTTTGTTTTCATTTCCAGATGCAGATTACATTATGATTTATGCAAAATAGTAAATGCGTCTGATGGCAACATGCGCCAGCCGCCATTTCCCCTCGCTCCACTCTTCGCCATGCCAATTGTACTTGCAATGCAAGAGACCAGCAAAACTTAGATGATATTCGTAGCTTGCTGTCTGTCTGTCTGTCCGGGATTGCAACGCCTACAAGCAACTGAAAGTGCATGGGAGTTGTGCACCCTACCGGCTGCTCAGCTCTATTGCAGAGCCCCTAATTTCATTTATCGCCCCTTTAAGCCAATCATAAAGCCTCGCGCCACGGACCTCTCGTAGCGCTTTCCCTGACGCAAATTCGTCGCACGGCCGCACGGCCATAAATCAGTTGCGCCATGAAGAGGCATCGTAAAAGTGCTTAAATTAATCATCCCATACATGTATTTGTTATTCAGCTCGTAAGGTTTTACGATGCCCCTGACCGCGGGGCATCCATAGGCGCAACAGGTTGCCACCGTCGCGTTTTGTTTTCTAAGCGCCAGGCCACTCACTGACAACGGCCAGTTAGCAATAACAATAACAAAATGCAGCCAGTGGATTGATCTGAGCATGACCGACTGGCAGATGCTCTGTAAGGATATGAGTGAGAGAAGCTATTCTGCAGAGTGTAAAGAAATTATTTCGAAAGTATGAGTAGACAGAGGGTTTATCATAGTTCTTTATGACCCATTAGATATCTACACAAATTCAGCTTTAAAAGCAAAGACAACGCTGTCTTAGTCCCAGACTGAGTAGAAACTGAAAGCAATTCGTAGGAGAATATTTATCTTTTTTGCAATTTAAGTAAACTGATAAATTTATTGAAAATATAATTAAATCAGTTATCGATAAACGAAATTTTGTAAAAGAATACTCATTTATATGCTTTAATATTAACAAAAAAAATAAAATAAAATCAAATTGAAAATTGGATAGTTATCAATAACTTAATCAGCACACTCATATAACCCAACAGCTATTAGTTTACATATCAAGAAGATCTAACACATTTACACCGCTTGCAGCCCTGTACTATGCAGGGTATAGCAACAGGAACAACAAAGACCGTAGAGCTATATATCAAATCGTAAACTTAACTGTGTAATATTTGCAGGTATTTTGCATAACGAGAAATTCTTTGTCATCGCTGGGCATTGGGCTGGGCTCCCTCTCTCTCTCTCTCTCTCTCTCTCTCTCTCTCTCTCTCTCTCTCTCTCTCTCTCTCTCTCTCTCTCTCTCTCTCTGTCTTCCGCCCATAACGTGGCATTAATATAGAGTGGAACATGCTGTTGCATCTGTGGCATGCCAGGACAGTGGTCAAATGTTTTCGGGGCTAGTAGCCGTAGCTCTAAATTGCAAATGAAATTGCATCGTTATTACATGTTTCAGGGGCAGCGCAAATTAAATTCCATATGGAAAAAGCAATCTTGCCAAGAGCCGCACACGCACTCGCACACACACACACCCATATATGTATTTATGTATTTATTTTACACAGATCTCTACACTGATGGCCACATTCTACAGTACGTGACAATGGGTGCGTTGCACAGTGTTTGAGCGGACAGGACAAGATGTTTAACAGCCCAGGCACTGAAATTCTATCGCCCAGACCCACAGAGAGAGACAGACAAAAAGAGGGAGAGGAAGAGAGAGAGAGAGCGAGTGAGCTCCTACAATCGCTTTTAAATTAGTTTAGTGGCATTTAAGTTAATCGCCTACAAGGGAGCTAAAATTGTCGAAGCTACCCCAAACGTCCATGCAGTCCATTCAAAATTGGGCGAACGTGATTCGATTTTCAAGAAGCTACAGCCAGACCATATCTCTTGTTCAGATACACACATATAGTAGGTATGTTCATTCACTTACTTATGAGTGGGTTAACTGCAGCAGCAAATTGAGTTGTGCATCGGGTGGAAAGCAAAAAGAACAACGCTGATGACAACCATTGGCCATTGCCCGTTGCCCGTTGCCCGTTGCCTGTCCGTTCATATCATTTGATGGAGCCGTGCATCTGTCCAGCTCCAGTCTATCCATGTTGTTTACTGTTTGCATAAATCTTGCTGCCGCCTTCTCTAGATAGCGATGCTTGTAATTAAATTGCGACACGGGCCAGCCAATGGCAGCTAATGGCGCCACAACATAGATCCCCAAGACAAACAACGACTGTCCCACACACACACACACCCATACATCTCTCTCTCTCTCTCTCTCTCTCTCTGTCTTTCTATATATCTGTGCAATTCATGACAGAGCATTGGGGACACGACCTGAGCTTGCTGTCTCGGCAAGTACAGGGCACGTTTCTCAATGAAATTCCAGAGCGAAGAGCGATCCAGAGCGCGCTTCTGTGTGTTCCGGCGTTGTCTGCTTGGCCATCAAAATATCAAGAGTCTGAAAAAGCGATACGGGCCTGGCCAGAAGGGCGCCCGCAACTTGGGCGGCTTTGGCGGCGACAACACGAATCGGTCGCAGTCGGAGTCGCCACCAACAGCAGTTAATTAATTCTGCATGAAATTTAAAGGGTTTTTTGTTGCTGTTGTTGTTGTTGCTGTTGCTGCTGCTGCTCTTGTTGTTGTTGGTTAGAGCCGCCCAGCTAGAGAGTGCATATATGGCAAAGTCATTGTCGTCGCCGGTCAGCCAGAGCATCGGCTGGCGTTTCTGCACGTACAGCATTTGTCTCTCAGACCCGGGCACTAATCAACGTTGAGCAATCTGTGCAGCCGCAGAACTGCCCTGGCTGCCTCATCAGCCTCCCAAATCAAGTCATTAAGCTCGCCGGAGTGCCAAATGGAGCAAATAACGCTGCAACTAGGCCGAATGTGCGTCATGGGAGTTCACAGATGCCAGCGCAAAAAAAAAATCTCTCAATTAGTCAGACAATTAAATCAGCAATCGATGCCAAATGAATTCGATTTCATTCATTTATACGAACGTACGTCAAATACTTACAATATCTCCGCCTTCGCATGAATTGTGAAAACGTTTAAGGCAGTGCTAAATAACTCGTCTTGAGAACAGTGTGGTCGAATGATAGCTACTGCTTCCCTATGCGATTCTCATTATTTCGAATGAAGCAAGCTGATTATAAATAAGCTTTTATCGTTATCTTTATATGAGTTTACTATTAATTATTAACAAGCTATTTTTTCTCTTTTCCTTTGCAGTGTCCAGCTACGGTAAGTTTTCATCCTGATTGCTTAAAATATTAGCAAATTGATCATTAAAACACTCCCTCTTAGTATTAAAGATCTATATATTATAACTTTGCATATTTAAAATTCATGCCAAAATACTGATTAATTTATTGTCATCATATTTATTTTTTTGTATTTTCCATTAGTAGCAGAAAATTTGAAAATGTTATATAGTATTTATTTAGTTTTAGTTTTTTTTTTTTTTAAGTTCTGATTCCGATCTATTCTAAATTGTTTTTTAATTAATCCAAACCAAAATCCTTCACGTTTTGAAAAGTCAATTAAAGTGTTTAAGAATTTCAGCTTTAATTTATCAAAATTCTTTAAAATCAATTATATTTATTACATTTTCGACTAGAATCTGAAGGCCTCTAAAAATAAGAGAGAAGCAAAACAAAAAGCCAGAAATAAATATATTCAATTTTAATGGCCATTAAGAGTTTTGCAACAGCTCATATAAATGCATGAACTGTTAAATGTCGCCGGCAGCACTCATAAAAAAAAAACTCAAAGATCAAATAAAAAATAAAGGAAAAAACAATAATTTAGCTTAACAACTTAATAACAAAGCAACAAAAAAACACCTCAACTCGATCAGCTAGCTGCGATCACCTGTTGCTAAACTAAGGATGCGCATGCGTCAGCCCCGCAGGCGACACCAGTATGTCAAAACTGAAAAACAACCCTCATCAGGACATCAGAGTGCAGAGGACAGGATCAGGAAGCAGGAGGCGCCAGGCGGCAGGAGGCGGACGCAGGCGACGACGTGAGCTGCCTAAGTGTGCAGGATATTCCACCTGTCCGCGAGTTTATCGATTGCACCATTGACAAATGAGCCGTTGGGAAACCAATTAAAGAATTGATCAACAATAACAACAACAACAACAACGGCAACTGAAAATATCATTTAGCACAAGTTAGAAACGACTCGAAGCTGGCCAGAACGAGATATAAGCCTGATTAATGATCAAAAGAAAGTTATAGAAGCTATGAAAGTATAAATCATGATAGCTTAGGATTAACCATCAAAAAAATAAACCACAGAGTAGATTCCGTATAAACTGCGCTGGCAACTAATTAGAGACTCACACACACACACACACACGTAAACATATAGTCAGGCATGAAGTTGGAGCACCTGCCCAGGTATGCTCTGGTATCATTAATAATTCAGAGACGGTTCGGGCGAACGCATAATAACCACGATTAAAGCAAACAAGGCTCATTGTCGGTTAAATGACAAGTTTTGACAACTTGTGAAACGACAAGTGGTCACTGCCAGTGGCCAGCGACAACAACAACCAACAACCAGCAACAACAACAACGAGAGACATGCGAGTGAAAACAACAACAAAAAGCACATAAGCCTGGGCGAACGGGCAGCGCAGGGAAATAAGGTCCACTCTAACCAGCGACCCAGTTAAATTAATAATCCGCATAATTGGAGAACTTAACTCGCGAGGGAAATGGAAATGGAAAGGGAACGCGTGAGTGAGAGAGAGAGAGAGACAGAGACAAACAGAGGGTGAGAGAGGGAGGGCGACAAACAGAGAGCGTTATTTGCTTTGCGCTTAATATATCATTTAGATTGTTTGCCAAAGATAGCCACGCAGCGAGGACTTTTGCTGTCATTATTATTGTTTTTTATATTTGTTTCATTTGTTATTGTTGTTGTTGTTGCTGTTGTTGCTTTTGTTATCCGATTATTGTTGTTCCGATTCCGTGGGGTGTGCGCGTACGCATTGGCAAGTTAACATGGCCCGCTGGAAATTAGCCGCTGTTTCTTGCCCGCTTTTTGAATGTGATTGGGTCAAGGCGAGGCAGTTCGTATGATTTCTAATCAATTTAGTTAATCTGCAATTTAGATACTAGGCTCATGCCCATAAAGAGAAAATAATTGCATCTGTTTCACATGCGTGTTCCGTGTTATCCTGAGAACTAGCACACATTTCAGTTTACTAGCTCCAAGCTACGATTGGTTTTCACCTTGTTTTGTTCAGTGTCCTTTACATCATGATATTGATATGGCGTGCATACTAATCATAATTTTGGGGCTTTTTCCGAATGATTTGATTTAAATGATTTCCATGCCGATTGGTATAATAGTTCTGTTTTGTAGGATAATTATATTTAAATATACGCTTAAAGTAAAAATGTTTATTTAAAGGCAAAGACAACTATTTCAAAATGTGACAAATATAAAATTCATTTTTGTATATAAAAAAGTTTTAATATCTAAAGTATGTCTGATCCTATTCCTGATTATTTAAACAGAAGAACTACTTAGGTCTCCATTTCGTTTTAGCATATATATTATTTGAATTTATATTAAGTATTATTTATTATTTATATTATGTTTGATTTTATTATTATATACATATTTAATTATTTATATTTATTAATATTACGTATTATGCATTATTATAATTTTTATTATATATCATATTACATTATAATTTATAGAAGTAACAGGCAAGTGTCTTCATTTGCCTCCATTAAAAGAAATTTTTGAGATAATCATTCAAATTGCTGATAATAGAAAGCAAAGAATGTTTTTCTCTCCTGCAATGTTTTTCATTTTTTTCTAAGCGATAAGTATCTTCTACAATTATGATCTAATTTGTCATGTTCTTTTTTCTTTCTTATTTCCAACCGCTACAACTGTGCGTATGACATCAACCTGAACTGCTCAACTGCTAATATCAGGGTGTAAGTATTTGAAAACTATTTGAAAAACCAACACAATTAAATAGTCATTAACTCAGTGGAAAATGTAATGGATAGTTAGTTGGTTTTGGTAAGGCGAACTGGGCCATGAAATGTTTGCTGAGTGTTCTGATAAATGAATTGTTTGAAACAATTGGCACGTACTTAAATGTCCTTTAAAGTTCATATTACATTGAGGAACTGGCAGCGCCTCGGACGTGAGACGACCTTAATTACAACCAGCAAAATACATGTTAAACATGACATTTTTCATGTGCCGGCGATCGATCAAAACGACAGCTACTGGATGTGCCAAAAGATTCCGGTTGTTCACTGTCCGCAGGTCTACAGGTCTACCTGTCTAGAGGTCTACAGGTCTACCGAAGGCCTGGAAGTCTGCGTGGCAGCTCGTGTCTTATCAACGTAATATCGAATTTCGATCAAAAACGCCTTCGAGCGACTTCTTTGCAGGCCACATCGTTTTTGGCGCAAAAAATGTATAAAACGGAGCGTATGTAGCTGTGTACATGAATGGCAGGCAGGCACTGTTGCCAGCCCACATTCCAGATCGCATGACCCTCATTATCATAGTTGGCACCATTAGGGGAAGCTACAAACGTGTCCTGGCCAGGACATTCACTCCGCGACTGACATCAGCCATAGGCGTCCGAGTGCATCTGCCACTGACTCCGTAATTGCCGTTGAGACCTGCCAAAATGTATTATTAAATTGTTAAGGCGCAATGTCAGATCCACTTGAAAGCTATGTTTAGCAGTTAATAATAAGCTAAAGCCTAACTAGTTCCATAATCTTTCTTCTTTTTTGCGTTAACTACATTCCGTTTGTCAGCTTGTTTATTCAGCAATTATTTATACAGATATCTTCATTCTCTTTTGTTGAGAAACTCATTTTATTTCCTTCTCTTTACATGTGCCTCTCATTCTGGACTGTATGGATCTATGAACTTGCGGTTAACAGTATGTAAGTATAATTTATGCAATCTAATTGTTGAGTAAATCAGCAATGGTCGATGTAGTAAACTTGCTAATCATAACTTTAATAGTATGGAAAGGGAAGAGAATATGATTTGAGGAGAAGGCTCAGCAGTGATCAACATTGTTAACTTGATGATCGTAGTTGTAATTAGAAAGAACAGAAAGGCAATGAAGAGGATATCAGCAGTAATCGACTTGAAGATCGGTGAGGAGGAAGGAGGAGAAGGAGAAAGGAGCAGACATATCAAAGAAAAGATCAACAGTGATCGAACTAGAAAAGTTGATAATCCAACGATAAGTACTTTGGAGAGAAAGGGCAAATCAATGAAGAGAATGATCAAAGAGAAGATCAACAGTGATCAAGCTAGAAAAATGCAAAACTCCTTTGATCAATACTGTAAAAAAGTGAAAAGAGATTAGGGGTATTAGGAATAGAAGATCAATGAGGAGCTTATTGTTCACATGCTACAAATTACATGAATACAAATATATAATTATGCTTTATCATATTTACATATATGTATATAGACAGACATCAAGCTCTGACAAACTTTAGGCAAATCCAATGCACTTCACGTAATAGTCAACTATCTCAGAGAGCTTTGCATTCAAGTAAATTTGTTCACATTTCGATACAATGCTTCTGTGCTGTGTTCTTTGTGCGCGCTGTAGATTATCATCGCAAATTGCTATCTGGGCTCTCAATCATCTATTGTCATGGCCATGATCCAGATGAGCAAATACCATCACAGCATTTTTACCATATCGGATTCCAGCTGTGACACCTTCACAACTACTTTGCACTCTGTGGACCAAACGAGTGACAAATATTTGGGCCATCCTTTTATGATCGTGAGGCACTGTAAGCCAGGACCATGGCTGGCTGTCTCACGACCTGGACATACGTACACTCTCTGTGTGTACCATACTCCTGGAATTCCTGCACAATGCGTTTCCAGCAGCAGCAGCAGCTGCTGGATTCCCTTCAGCATCGATCGCCAACACCGTCGGATGCCTCCACGACTTGGTAGCTCAGGCTGTGGCTCTGGCTCTGACACTGACTCTGGGTCTGGAGAGCAAATCGCTCTGTTTGTTTCTCGTTGGCCATCCACACACACACACACACACTCATACACAATGCAGCCACAGACTGAACGAGACGCAAGAATTTATGGCATTTCACTGTCAGAGACGCAGAATTTCTGTCCCTTGCCACCATTAATGGAATGGACAATAAATTTAAACGTGCAGACGGACAACATGCCATATGTAAAGAGCCTAAGCCAGCCCAAAGCCCCAAGGCTCAACTCTAGAGGCGACATTCACGAAATGGCCAAAATCGCAGCTCTTTACTTTGCGCGTGAGACGATTTGTAAATCCAAGCCGAGCCACTCATGGCTTTTGCATCCTGTCTTATGACAAAGCGATAATCACAATCTCATGACTTCACACCTCATTTGAATTGTTATCAGAAACTTATTAAGCATCGATTCTCATGGGCAATATTTTCAATAGGGTATATTGCGCCCTTGGACATTAGACAGAACAGTAAGAGAAGGGGTTTATTTGATCCGGAAATGTTATGGGAAGGCTAATTTGATGTTGATTTTTAAATGACAAAGAAAATTTAAATGCTCAAGAAAACTAAATAGATTATAAATAAATTAAATCTTAGCATAGTTGCAAAATATTAAAATACAATAGATCAAAGCTTACAAGTTCGAAGTCGTATGCTCTTCGGCCTTTCGTCTCAGGATCACTTGATGTGCATCTAAGCCTAAAGAATAGCTTTATTTGAAAATGACAATTATTATCTTGATTATTATGGATAATGATCTGATGATTTATCCCCGAAATCATTTTAGGTTTCTTAAAGTGAACCTCTTAAAAACTAAAATATTTGCATAATTTCAGTAAAGTGCACATCAACTACTTATACAGCTTAAGTAAAGGATCTCAACGTTACTTCACCTGAGGAAATACATATCGTAAATCGGCAGACAATGTTGATAAGATAGTCGTAGCTGTTTGTGTGTAGCTTCTGTTCTGTGGGCACATTTCTCCACGAAATGCTAAGACAATGGGCTGAGATTAAATGCCAAACAGTGCAGATTAAGATGCATCGAACGCGAATAGTAGCTACATACATACATTCCTACATATGTACATACATACATATGGATGTACATATGTATGTTTGTCAGGGCAGTCCCTGGGCTGGCTGCAGCTTCAAACTGCGAGAGACACGATACAAATTTCCCTTGAAAAGAATTACATACCGATCGGCAGCGGGAATTGGCTGTAGCTCTATTTGTACTGTCAACCTCTCCTCTCGCTCTCTCATCTGCGTCTCTTTTCTCTCTCTCTCTCTCTCTCTCTCTCTCTCTCTGTTCGATTTCAATGTTGTCCCAGTGTCTCTGAATCTGTTGCTGGTGCAGTCTACTGCCGCTCGGCTTGTTTGTCTTTGCCGTTCAAGAAAAAAGTGACCGTCTTCATTGTCAACACATGGTTTTGTGGTACGTCGTGGTACGTAGCATTGCCGTGGCAAACAATTCTATAGAAAATCATCGTGCACTCGCGGCGATCGCCTGGCTCAGTCTCTTATCTGAGCGGCCCGAATCGTTGCGCCTTACTAAATTATTATGTTAACATGAAAATAATTGAGGCAAAAGGTATTCACCATTCGCCATTCGGCATTCGGCAGTGGCTGGCCAATTTATTTATATCGTATAATCTTGAGCTCAGTGGAATCCTTGTTCTCCATTTCGATGGAGCGACAGCAATTGATGGCCGAACAAATAGTTCCAGAAGTGCAGCATATTGGGACACCGACGCCCTGCTGCTTGTTAACTGTCTCTCTCTCTCTCCCTCCATCTCCTTGCTTATATTAATATATATATATACATATATATATAATATGGCATTGTATCGGCTAACGATTAGTCAGTTTACTAATTAAACTCTACTCCTTGCAGACCGCTTTACACTGGGCTGCCAAGCATGGGAACGAGGATGTGGTCAAGCTGATTGCCGGCACCTACAAAGCGGATGTCAATGCCCGAACGGTGAGAGCTCCAAATATCTATAATATTTAAATATTTGAAGTGTTTTTGATTTTAATTCGCATGTTGTCTGTCCAACTGTCGACGTATACATAAATATATTGCCTGCAGCATGGGGTAAGTGTCTTTTATCAAATACTTTTTAATAATATATACGATTCGAAAATCGAGCATCGAGCATCGCGCTTCGAATGATTGAGCCTTGTCACAATCACGCGAAAATCTGCGTCACATGTCGCACGGCAAAACACTTCTTTAACCCTTCCCATGAGGCAGCGGAGAGCCCAGCCAAGCTGTGACAAATCGTGACGAGCAAATCCAATTGTGCCACAACACGTGCCCCTTCCCCTGGCTCCGGCCTCCTGCCACTGCCTTTGTCTATGCATGCGAGTTTACACAATTTTAAATTGAAACGCTGCCGTTGTTCGAAACAAATTAAGTTCCCTCAAATGTTTTCCAAATGTCTATCTCCAAAAATTGAGACAAAGTGAATTGTCAATCACGACGAATGTGTTACATTCAATTTAATATGAATTTCCAACTGATTTGTTACGCATCTTGCCAAAAGGGTTCCAAGTGAAGGTATTATAATATGCCAGAAAATATTCTAAGGCAAGTAAGAAAGCTCGAGTCAAAACTGCTCCTCGAAGGACTGATATTTCAATAATTCTTCGTTTCTTTTATGCTTATACGAGAAAGAGCATACGCACAGACTCACAGAAATTGAAGCAGTCTATAGAGAAATACTAGTCCTTAAGAGAACTATAGAACAGAAGAGACTGCTGTCTATGCCATCTAATAATCATAAATGTTAATGTACACAAGGTTGCTAGCATATCAAATACAAGAGACGGAGAAAATCTACTGAAGGTCATTTAAGTTGTCTATGTATGCAATGGTATTCGTTTGGCATTTATATTTGAGTAAAACGACACTAGAATGCTTGCAGTAGCAGAGAGTCTTCCCATTGGTCACTTAAAGCTCGACTGAAATGTTCTCTACCTGTCGTCGTTCTCTCTGAGCGCGACCTTGACTTTGAGTGAAAGGTGCCCTATATAAAGGGCAGCAGCTGTAGTATTTCTTCAGTCTCCCAGGCCTGCTGGGGGTCAGTCGTACAGTGCAGTAGAGCGAAGTGAAGTGAAGTGTGATCGTTCAGCTAAGCATTAAAGACTTGGAGGAAATACTTAGAAAAAACTTTGTGAAAATAACTTTGTAAAAATACTTAGAAGAAATACTTAGAGAAAATACTAAGAGGAAATACTTGGAGGGCATTCTTAGTGAACTTTTTCTTTTTCTGCACCGCAATTTGAAACAATAATACTGTCTCTATTCTATCAAAGTCTCTTTATTAGTTTCTAATCGAACTAAATATTGTTGTCTTGCTTAATACCTAACTGTTTATAGCCTTCACTGTTGAATGATCTTGATCTGATTTTTCTTTTATAGGGCTATACACCGCTACACTTGGCTACACAATTCGGAAGGCATAATATATTCGAGCTACTATGGAATGTTTATAGTATGTATAGTAATTAATACTGAATATATATGAAAAATTATAAATAGTTATTAATTCAATCATACTAACATATCTACTCTTGCAGAGGCTAATCGTGACATTATGGACTGGAGTGGCAATAAGCCATTGGACTATAGTCAACAGCGACCCAGTGTTTCGGCCTCAACGTGCAGCAGTGAGTATCAAAAGTATTTCCTTGGCACGGAGCTAAACAACAACTACCAACTGGGATACCAGCACGTTCTTGAGACTCCACTCTCAAGCTCTGGCAATGGCGGTGGCAATGGGATCGTGGGCGGCACACTCGGCAGCGCACTAACACGTGGCAAGAAGCGATCTCAGCTGCGCAGCTATGCCACTATTAGCAAAGGTTCGGGTTTTGGTACTGTGACTCGTACGCAATCTCTGTTGGCATCGCCATCATCATATCACCGCTATAAGAAGCCATCGGTGCAAAGTTTGCTCGGTAAAGGACCCAATGATGACAGCGATTCAGAGTCCACGCAGCGACGCGACAAACGAGAGTCGGGCGAAGCCGGCGAGCTGGCGCCAAAGTCCCAAGCGAGCAGAGTACGCAGTATTCACACTCGGCGCAAAGAGAGCTTCTTGCGTAAAACGTTTCGGTCCGCTGCCGGGTCGAGCCGAACCCCACAAGATGTTGTTACTAACCCAACTAGCAATTAATCCCAGCATGCGCAAAAATAACATATGTACTATTTACTATATAACTTACACTGCAGTCGAAAATAGCTATGTATATAGATTATATATATCGATATGCCCAGTTATAGCCATAGCATTAGCAAATATATTAACAAAGAAACTTTAATGTAAAGCTAAGCTGTTGCGTCGAAAAAAAAACTATCAGCTTATATATAAAATATGCCGATCTACCAAAAAATTTTTAATTTACATAATTCATAATTTATAGCCATATATGTATATTAAAGTATTAACCGAAGCTTGAATTAAAAATTAAAATAAAAAACGCATAACCATTATATATATCAAGTAACCTTATATTAAAGAATATATAATATAAAATATATGGCTGGTCAGGGCATTAGAAAACAAGAATTATTTCGAACAATAACTAAAAGCTGCCTCTTCAGGCGTTTCATCTGATTCACCTGCCCATTGTTAGGCTTCCAAGCAAGACCATGTACTGTCTAGATTCTAGTTTCACCTTTGTGTTGCATGTTATTTAACAATATATAATACGCTTTGCCAGAGTTTTTAAAATGATTTAATACTGTTATAAAGAACTTCTTGAGTTTTACCTACCCAAGCAGTTCTTCCTTTGTAATACCTTCATTTTTCATACAAAACGGTATTCAAACTGCATGCCTAATCTAAACTTGTATTGAATAATTGTGGTATTCCTGCCACTGATCGCAAATACAATGATCAGCGAGTGCTCAAGTGAGTCAAGACTTGATAGCTTAATAACATTAACTAACTTCTCTGAAGCCTGACAAGTCTTGAATGACATCAAGAATACCCCTTCTACTTCACTGAAATTTCTCAAATATCTAAAAAGAATCTCTGGGCACCTCTCTCTATATTTATTTTCATTATTGCAACGTGTAGAAATTCAAGCGATGCGGCTCAACTCAAACGGACTCAATGGAACCTGGAGGCAGGTTGACTTAACTAAAGATTTTGAATGTTTGCCAACGATTAATGTTCAATAAAATTTGGTTTTTTGTTCGTTCGCCTGTTATTATGTATATATACTTTATGATTTCTTAAAATTATCTTAAAATATTGTTAAAAATGCTTTTGTAGCACATTTGAAATTAATTTAGTTTTTAAAAGCATTTGCTGCCTGTTTTACTTGATTTCTTTGCTTGGTAAGTTTTTTATTTATTTTTTTTAAATTCTCTAATTCGCAAACCTCATTTTGTCCTTCCAAACAAAACAAAAAATATATAATATTGTTATGGTTTACATATTTATCATCTTTAATTACTAACAGCATGTGCATGTTTAGTTCGTCTATAAAAAAATGTGTTAAATAATAAATATCTTTAATTTATCTTTGCAGAAATCAAGGCACGAAAAAAGCATGCAAGTAAGTACTAATTCGAATTCGTAATATGTAAATTCTAAACGGATTCCATCATATTTTCAGTCGAAAAAGATTTGGGCTTCCTACGGATTGGTTCGTTGAATGTCCGGGTAAAGAAAACAACCGAAGCGTTCAGCAACTTCTTGGGAGTGGGCAATGGCAATGCCCTGACGGCGTATGGACCTGGCGGAGTCTCCGGAGCAGCCCCAATCGAAGCGGGTCGCCATCACCAGCGAACTCACCGTCACCATCATCAGCGTCATCCACATCATGCCAATGGTACGACACGGGATCGGCATCCGAATCAGAGAGCGTCGACGACAATACCATACGGCTCGACTAATGTGCTGGGCTCCCGGTCCAGTGTGCCAATCAATCGGAATATATATGACGCTGTACACAAATCGTGGGGCTCAGCCGATAATATAACACAGCGTCCCGACACGCTAATGCCACCACCGAAATCGGTTGACTACGTCTCGAAACGATACAAATCTTCTAAACGTTCATCGTATGCCTCGAATGCCACCGACTCACCCCGTGACTCCATTTGTTCCTCGAACTCCAGCTCGAACCTTAACTCTGGCTACAGTAGCATGCCAACTACTCCAAATCAAATACGTGCTCCTAAGAACATTGGAATCACAGCCGATTCCGATTCGGATTCAGCTTGTGGATTTGACTCCAATTGGTCTGTCAACGGTCGTAATTCAGTTAACAATAATATCCTAAGATCCTAAATTCTAACAAGTTTATCAATTTTTTAAATACATTTCATAAACGAAACACCAATAATTCCATGAGGCATTATCTAATATAAGACAATACAAAGCTGAAGGGTTTACTTTATAATACTGAAACGTAATGTACTACTAGATATGATATCATATATATTATATATATCACTTTGATATCTATAAAAGAATCTCTCAAAAAATAAAAAATGTTAAAAGGCAATCGCCTATTAAAACAACTATATATATTCATAAAATTTCACAAGACATAGAAAATGCAATGTTTTCATATGGAATTATACAAATAAAAGTAATCAAAGATTCAGAAGCTCTGTTAGTATTCTCTTCGTGTCATTTGGAGTGTTAACTTTATGTCCTTTAAGGCGAGGATCGATATAAATCTCGTAATCATTGCCACCCGGTTCGGTCTTATCGCCGAAGAAATGAATTTCTTTGAAATTGTGATACGCCTCGATGTGGCGCAGACAGAAGGTCTTATCCCAACCATGAGGGAACACATCGAAGCTTATCTGGCCGCCAATGCTGTAAGTAAGATCGATATCTGCGAACTCCTCCTTCAGCTTGGCAATCATTGTCGATCGAACTTTGTGCTCCTCATCGTAGGCAGCAAACATGTTGCGCTCCTCCCTGGTGCACTGTCGACCAATCGGGCAGATGTTCATCATGCCGTTGCGAAACTCAATAAACGTTCCACGTTTAATGGGGAGCTCCAGCTCCGAGAGGTATCGCAGCACATAGTTGATGAATCGCTGCAGAGTTTTCTCGCCCAAATGCTGTATAATATTTTGTTTGCCCACTTCTTTGCCAGCTTCGATTTGCACCAGACCGTTTTCGGGGAATATAAAGTCAAACTCCTTCAATATCTTCTGGCCATTAAGCTGCTCAAACATTTTTTCCAGATCCGAGCCACCAACAATGCCAATGGTTGCCTTTGGCTTGACTTTTGTATAAAGGAACTCCTCAAACTCGGGCTGTACCACTGAGCGGGGCATAGTCAGGGTGCCATCGACATCGAATAACAGCAAAATATCCTCGCGTTTTGACATTTTAAAACAGACGAAAAAGAAACTCCACAATTGTTACTCAGAATTGACCACGTATGTGTAAATAAACTGGATTGAGTCAGCTGTTTAAATGGAACTGATAAGAATGTCAAGCCGGTTGCGATGTTCACGCTACGATCATTTCTTATCGAATGCAAAGAAAGCTTGAAATTTTTAACTTTTTTTTGTACGTACATACATATGTATATTTATTATCAATTGGTAAGCCGGTCAATTACAAATACATATGCAAAATGCGTTAAAGTCAGCTGTTCACATTTCTTTGCGCAATAATTAGTTATGGTATAAGAATAATAATATTTATTTACACTTGAGGATATATCGCAATGTAATACATATTATTTGCACTATTATATACTTTTATTTAGCATGGCTGCTGATATGCTCTTGTAGAGATTTATATTTTTTTGAGTTTATCATGGGATCCACAACAACTGGATATAGAGTAATTCCTATTGCTCCAACAATGCATGACACAAAGCCAACAAATCTCCAACCGCGTAAAGTTGCCATTAGACTGCAAAACAGAATTAATGTAATTCTAAACAGATTTAATTATTTACTATTATAAAACAAACACCTGCTTGATGCGCAAATGGACTAAAAATTGACAAAATTCCTATACAAACATCGTAGCCACTATCGCATATTCTATCGATGACAAATGAAAAACACAAACAAGTATCGATTACCGTAGCAGTTGCGGGCGTGTCGTTGTTGTTAGGTTCATTTCGTTTGTAATTATTTTTTGTTTAATATATATTTAAACTAAATGTGTACTGCTATAAAAGTGTAAAATGGCTAGATTATTGCTTATATGTTTGCTAAGCGCAGTTTATTTAACTACAACTTACGGTAAGTCCAATTTCATTTGTCTAGCTCGCTGACTAAACATTGGGCGTTGCTGCATGTAAAACATACATATATTTTGTATGCGTGTGTTTGTAAGTGTGTGTGTGAACGCATGTAAGTCTGATTTAATAAGCCATTCTTCTGGCTAGATTTGAACAATAAGTATTTATGCTGTCAAAATGTAGCTTAGATGAAATGTGTAGCAAATAATATTGTTATCTCTTATATTAACTAAGCGTAACAAGTTTTCTCAAAAATGTCAATCTGTGTGCGTAGCTAATTAATTTAAAGCCAACATTAAAACTATTAATAATTTATTAATAATTATAGCACAACATCACTATGCTGAAGATAAAATCAGCAATATTATTTGGTGCACAAAAGGCCAGGAGGAGCAGTACAAATGCCAGAATTTAACCGTTGCCATCGAACGGGATCGTGCACTCTTCGATGATGTCTTCTTGAACCTCACCTGTCTTATGGCATACAGTGCCGATGAATGCATTCATCTCTTGGATCGCGAGAAGGCACATATCACCACACTGGATGCTGGAGATGTCTTTACCGCCGGTCGCTACAACTCCTTGATTCCCATAATGCAAGAGAAATTGGAAGGCGGATTCCTGGACTATCATTCAGTGGCCGTTATAAAGAAGAATACTTTAACCGACGTTACGGATCTGCGGCAGTTGCGCCAAAAGAGAGCCTGCTTCCCCTGGGTGGGCAGTTTAGCTGGTTGGATAGTGCCCATATATACGGTGCGAAGAATGCTTAATGTTGTCTAAGTAAATATTTATTAATATGCTTTCATTCATCTTTATTTCAGCTGCAACACAATGGTGGAATGGAGGTTGTAGATTGTAATAATCAAGTCAAAACCGCTGCCAACTATTTTAACAGCTCCTGCGCCGTGCACTCGTTGATTGATAGATACAACCCCATCGGAGATAATTCTGATAAGTAAGTAGAATTAGATCTTTATATACCGATCATTTCACAATTATCTTATTACCTTCAGACTTTGTGCTCTATGTACTGGCAAAATACCTGGACGCTGCTCGTCTACTGATCCCTATTTTGGCTACGATGGTGCATTCCGGTGCCTTCTGGAAGCGGGCGAGGTAGCATTTTTGCGTCACTCAACGGTTTCCGAAATGCTACAAACATCCGAATTTAGTGAGTAGTCTACCAAAACGTATAATATTATATATTTCAGCTATTATTCTCGTTTAGAAAAACTGTCGCCAGACACCTTTCAGTTGCTCTGCCGCGATGGCAGTCGTGTGCCCATCAGCGACTATCGCCAATGTAGCTGGGGTCAAATTCCCTCAGATGCCATTGTAACTTCCTCAGCTCGTAGCTTCAAAGAGCGTAATCAATATCAGCAATTCCTAAAACGCGTCTCTGAGCTGTATTCAGACGCCATTCGCGAGGAACCCAATCAGCCTCAGACTGGCGGAGGATACAACGCATACAACGGCAATAACTATAACGATCAGAATCGCAACTACAACGATCAAAGCCGTAATAATCCATACGACAATTTCAACAGTCAGTACGACAACAACAATCCCTACACCAGAAATCAGAACCAAAATCAATATGATCGATTTGATGGCTCGATTTATCGCAATGAACGCCTAGACAGCAGCTTTACCACAGAACGCAGTGCACTTGAGGGAAACACCTCAGTGCCTTATGAGAAATTCCGCATTTTTGAGTCGAGGCGATATGGCAAATCCAATCTGCTCTTCCAGGTAACAGAAAAAAATATGTAATTAAGAATTTTAATCTAACACTTCAATTTAACTTCATAGGATGCAGCCAGAACCCTTGTTTCCATACCAGAGGATGATCAATCCTTTACCAAATATTTGCAAAGAGCTATTGACTACATATACGGCATTCGTGAGTGTCCCGTTCCTGCAATGACGCTATGTGTGACTTCTGAGCCAGAGCTGGAAAAATGCATTAAGATGAGAGTAAGTTAGATTAACCTTATCCTTAATCTCAATTCAATAATAATTGAGATCCTTCTCTAGACCGCACTCAAAGCACAAATCCTAAAACCCGAGCTGATCTGCAAGAAAATGCATTCGCACATAAACTGCATGCAGTTGATACAGTCTGGAAAGGCTGATATATCTGTGTTTGATGCTGGAGATGTCTATACGGCTGGCTTGAACTACGACTTGATTCCATTCATGTCTGAGGTATACAACTTGGGTGAGCCTGAATACTATGTGGTGGCTGTGGCCAAGGAGGAAGATCCCGATACGGAGCTTACATATCTAAAGGGCAAGTACACATGCCACACAGGCATCAATACAGCCGCCGGCTGGACATATCCGATGGCCTTCCTCCTCTCGAACGGTTGGATAAGACCCTATGGCTGTGACTCGATTCGCGCTGCAGCAGAATACTTTACCAAATCTTGTGTGCCCGGTGCTATAAGCAGTGAATACAACACAGGCGTCCCGTATGACAGTATGTGTGACCTGTGCCATGGAACCAGCTATAGATATTGTAGACGTGACGCATCAGAGGATTACTATGGACACACTGGTGCCTTCCGCTGCCTCGTCGAAGGCGGTGGCCATGTGGCATTCATGAAGCACACCACTGTCATGGAGAGCACCGGAGGCAAGCGCAAAGAGTGGTGGGCCAGAAACGCTCTTAATGACGACTTTGAATTGCTGTGCACCGATGGTACTCGCGCCGAGCTCCAGGACTACAAACGCTGCAATTTGGGCAAAGTGAAGGCCAATGCTGTCGTTACCCGAGGCGGCGTGAACTACAATGAGACACAATTGCATGCATATATCAATCTGCTGACCTATGCTCAGCAGCTGTATGGTCGCAAGGATGTGGATGCTTTCAGTTTCAGCATGTTCTCATCGCCCATTGGACACTACGATCTAATCTTCCAAGACGCCACACGCCAACTGCAAGTCATTCCGCCAAACGAACGACGGTACGACACCTATTTGGGTGGAAATTACATGAGAGCACGTCGCATCACCGATTGCTATGCCAGCGCCACTCAGTTCACCTTCTCCACATTCCTGCTCCTAGCGAGTGCATTTGCCCTAAGAATTTTACTCTGATTGCATGAGGGGAATCTCTCAAATTCTATATCATACTCCAAATAGGGTAACCTTACCCATATTGACTCGTAACAATTCGAATATCCATTACGAATCTCACAACAAATGACAAACAAACATATCTAAGTGTACACCAAACAGAGAGTTCACAGTGTAATTTGTCGATCTGACCGATTCTGACTAAAGTGCCTTAAAATCTACTTTAAACAAGTTCATTGTTTACACAAATTTCAATTATCATTCCAAGTGTCAGCTACAAATTATACTATACACTAAATGTACAATAATTTAATATTAAGTTATAAAGATCAACTTTACAAATCAGAGTACAATTTTGTAGTCTACAACGTTCAACTCCGTCCTCTAAATTTAAATTATATTGTATTTTACAAACCGTCCAAGAACACATTTTATCTACAAGTCTAACGTGTAATACATTGTATTGTTTTTTATATACTATCAGAATTATACATACATAGATATATTGAATAAACTTTTTTAGATTGAATATTGTCTTCTTTTCTTCTATAAATAAATGATCATGCACACCATTCAAATGTAAATGGCTTTTGAAAAAGCAAATTCACCAAATGGTCAATGGTGACGTCAGTGGTGTGGTGAAACCGCGTCTGCAAACGTTTCAATGGTATTGACACTTTCTTCCTCTTCACATTCATTCAGCTGGTTCGCGCACTGACACGCGTTGCTTTTCGACGGTTTCTTATATGTGGGCTACTTTTAGTACAACAACAAGAAGGTGAAAACGGAAAGTAGTTTTGCGACTGGTTGCGAGTTTTCACAAGGATCGTCAGTGCCACAGAGATATCGAGTCAGCAATTCAGTTATCAACATGTCTATCAATTTGCGCACCGTTTACGCTTTTGCGAGAGAAATGTATCCAAAAGTATCAAAGGAAACCATTCAATACGGAACAGCTGGGTTTCGCGGCAAGTGAGTTTACTTACCCTTAGTTACATACATACATATAAATTGCCTCATACATACAAATACATATGTCCAATTGGGTGAATGTCCACGCCCACACCCAAGCAAACAAACACGACATCACACACACACACTCACCCGCATATTGCTAGATAAGTGTGCATATGCATGTATGTGTGTCTTTTAGGGAGTGGTGAAGATGAGTAAGGCGATGCACTATTTTGGCATTCAGTTATATTAATAGAATTTAATGCTTTATCAATGGACATGCACCTTTTAAAGGTACCTGAGTATGGCCAAACATCCGTACATACTTAATATTAGTAAATATGAGAAACGTTTCACGTCGTCAATAATATTTCAAATCCCATTTTTAAGAATCTGTTTATAAATGCTATAAATTAAAATAAAGTAAAGTATATATTTGTACTTCTCATTAGGCAACTGAAAAGAACTTAACCTCCAATCAGAAAAATTCGTTCTTGTTGGCGGCTTATTTGAACGCCTAGAGGCAAAAACAATTGTTATGTTTAGTTACTCGTTCAAAGTAGAACACATAGATACACACATACATATAAGAATATTATATACGTGCTGGAGAGACTTTTCTTGCACGAATGCATTCGAATTTCGAAATGAAAATAAAGACTTTCGACCGTTAACGATGAAAGATTACATAGGGAGACTACATATACATATACTAGTCGTATGACTAACAATCACACAATATATAATATACACGTTATCTTGTTTCGCTGTACAATTATATATGATTGCTTCGTAATTTTAACTGATAATAATCAAGAAAATCAATATCTTCTTTTTGCACAGAGCCGAGCTCTTGGACAGCGTTATGTTCCGTATGGGCGTGTTGGCCACTTTACGCTCCCGGTTTAGAGAGGGCTCTGTCATTGGCGTAATGATCACAGCCTCGCACAATCCGGAGCCCGACAATGGCGTTAAACTGATCGATCCGAAGGGTGAAATGTTGGAGCCCAGCTGGGAGAAGATTGCCACAGATCTGGTGAACGTCAGCGACCAAGATCTGGAGCAGCATGTAGCTAAAATAATTAAGGATAATGAAATCGATATTACCTCAAGCTCTTATGTCTACGTGGGTATGGACAATCGCTATCATAGCCCACGCTTGCTCAAAGCTGTGGCAGATGGTGTCATCGCACTGAAGGGGAACGTACGAGAATTTGGCATAGTCACCACGCCAATGATGCACTTTTTCGTAGTGGCAGCCAACACAAAAGAGGCGTATGGTAAGCCCACGGAGGAGGGCTACTACGATAAGCTTATTTCCGCCTTTGAGAAACTTCGCAATGGCCAGCTGGAGAATGGTAACTATCGCAATCGGCTGATCTTTGATGGCGCAAACGGAGTTGGTGCTAGGAAAATGCTGCAATTCAACAAGCGCATGAATAAGTCTCTCAACGTTACGGTTATAAACCAGGGCGTTGGACCGGGCAAGATCAACGAGGAGTGTGGTGCTGATCATGTCAAGGTGCAGCAAAGACCTCCAGTGGGCATGCCCATTGTGGAACCGTATACGCGCTGTGTCAGCGTCGATGGCGATGCTGATCGTGTGGTCTACTTTTTCACTGATGAAACGGGGCAATTTAGGCTGCTCGACGGAGACCGGATAGCCACCCTAGTGGCTGGCTACCTGATGGACTTGATTCAAAGTTGCCAGTTGGACCTACGATTGGGCCTAGTGCAGACGGCCTATGCCAATGGCGCGTCCACAGATTACATTGTCAACGAATTGAAGGTGCCCGTTTCTTGTGTGCCCACAGGTGTTAAGCACTTGCACCACAAGGCGCTGGAATATGATATTGGCATCTACTTTGAGGCCAATGGCCACGGCACCATTGTGTTCAGCGATAGTAGTAAGGCGGCGATAAGCGAGGCTGCCAAGACGAACCCCAAAGCGCAGACTCTGCTGCTTGTTATAGATCTGATCAATGAAACTGTGGGCGATGCCATCTCCGATATGCTGTTGGTAGAGACGATTTTGAATCAGAAGGGCTGGGATGTTAAAGACTGGATTTCGAGCTACGACGACCTGCCGAATCAACAGCTTAAGATACAAGTCAAGGATAGAAACGTTATCCAGACCACAGACGCAGAACGCGTGTGTGTAAAACCGGAGGGACTACAGGATGAAATCAACCAAGTCGTTGCAAACTACAAACGTGGACGTGCGTTTGTGCGTCCATCCGGCACAGAGGATGTAGTACGCGTATACGCCGAAGCTTCAACAAGAGAAGTAAGTGTATATTGAAATGAATATAACCAAAGAAACTAAATGCCTCTTCTATCTTCCTTACAGGACGTTCTTCAGCTGGCGTACGAGGTGGGACGATTGGTGCAAAAACTTGCGGGTGGTGTCGGACCGGAATTAGTTAATCCAAGCAACAATGCTCATTTGTAGTCAATATTTTGTAGAAGGCTTGCGTGCTTAGGCATAATCTCACAGAATCGCATTTAACCGGCGTGCTTAATTGGTAGCTTTTATTTTACATCCTACTTGGGGGAAATTTGTAACTAGTATGTTAAATTGAAACACCGCCTTAAAGTATACCCAATTTCAATCACTTACAAATGCATTTATAATGTAATAATAATCGCAAAAGTGATTAATTTGTTATGTTCTTAAAAGAAAAATAAGCTAAAATTCTCAAATTCGATTTTTTTTTATATAATTTACAACTGTTAAAGAATTGTCAGCAATGCATCGATATAATTTTTAATAGAAAAGTCAGGGTGCTTAACTATATGCCTGTTCCTATTCTTAAGTACTTTTACACTCAGTCATACACCCATGTGAACCTCTTTAACAGCAATATGTACTTTTACAAATGTGTGTACTTGGAGACAATTCAAGAGATTTTATATTCTTGCCAGAATAAAAAGTACGGAGACTGTTATCACAATATTGTGACTGTCACAACTATATAAACCCGTAGTTTACTCAAATTTATAAAGGCTTACATATCGTTAGATGTGTTTCCCCTTGTATCCTGTATAGAAGGTATATAAATTTTAATGGCATTGTCTTAGTTTAAAATGTGTTCCATATTTTTTTATACTTCAAATTTCGATAGTGAAATATATAACAAAAATATTTTATATATTTGCCCTGTTAGTTTTATTTAAATGTTAAATGTATCAGCTAACAAGCAGACAGTTACTAATAAAATATATGGCGTACACATAAAACAATAGATATATTTAAATTTTGCGCCAAAATTCGACCACATAACATACTAAAATCACACAAGCTAAACAAATAATACCAAACAACAGATGATTAAGAAATACTATCGATTGTATCGTAGCTATATCGATAAGAAAATCAACAACATCCCTTTAGCAAAGCCGTCAAACTGCCCTGCTGTCACTAAAGTATAAATTTTCTGATGCAATTTCATCTGTAAAGAATAGCTGAAATTTGAAATTGTTCTCTTATTCCTTGGGCATAAATCATCTAAAATGGAAGGTGAAGACGTAAGTGTCGACAAGTTTTGTGTATTGCAAGTGTTTCTATCAACAATTATATACAAACGACGAGATCGTACATTGTGTTTCTCATGTGTGAGGTTATGTAGCGCATATGGAGCTCCATTAAAATTTGCATGAATTTCACCTATTCGCCCAAATATTTTATGTGCTCGATTTTGCTAACACATTTAATTATTTCAAAACATATTTTAGGGGTTCGATCCTACTTTGTTGAAGAAGAAAAAGAAGAAGAAGACCACATTTGACTTGGATGCCGCATTGGGACTGGACGATGCTGGAAAGAAAGAAGACCCCAAAGATGAAGCAAGTGCTGTTTCAACAGCAGCTGAAGTGGACGATAATCTGGATTTAGAAAGCTTCGGTAAAAAGAAGAAGAAGAAGAAGAAGCCCTTCAACTTAGATGAACTGGAAGGGGCGTTGCCTGATGGCGCGGACGATGCCACTGCTGCAGCAGCAGAAGACCCTGAGGAAGAAGAGATTAATTTGGACATGGACTTTACAATGGCCAAAAAGAAGAAAAAGAGCAAAAAGAAAGATTTGGATGAACTGTTTGCGGACAAAGTGGACGAAGATAAAAGCGAAGACAAAGAGAACCGTAAGTTATTTATTTAAACATTATTTGTTTCTCAATATTAATATATTAATTGCTTTTTAGTTGAAGATAACAGCAGCACCTGGGCTGGTTCGGATCGCGATTATACATACGACGAATTGCTGAAACGCGTCTTCGAAATCATTCTGGACAAGAACCCAGACATGGCAGCTGGCCGTAAGCCCAAGTTCGTGATGAGACCACCTCAGGTGCTTCGTGTAGGCACAAAGAAAACATCATTTGCCAACTTTATGGATATTGCGAAAACTCTGCATCGTCTGCCGAAACATCTGCTAGACTTTCTGTTGGCCGAGTTGGGCACAAGCGGCTCGATGGACGGCAACCAGCAATTGATTATCAAGGGTCGCTTTCAGCCAAAGCAAATTGAGAACGTGCTGCGTCGCTATATTAAGGAATATGTCACCTGCCACACCTGCCGCTCTCCAGAGACAATATTGCAAAAGGACACGCGTCTATTCTTTCTACAGTGCGAATCCTGCGGTTCTCGGTGCTCCGTTGCTAGCATTAAGTCTGGTTTCCAAGCCGTTACAGGCAAGCGTGCCGCCATTCGAGCAAAAACCACATAAATTACTTGTATACTTTTAATTGGATTTTTTATTGATTAAAATTTCAATTTATATACAAAAACTCAACTTATTTAGTATGTCTTTGATAGTAGTCTATTAAGTTTTCACTGAAGGCGAGTTCCAAACTGCGCGACTTTTCGTTATCCATAGTAAATGAGATCACGTCTAAACTAATTTGATCCTTAAAATTGTGTGGACGCCCATATAACATAACGTTGCTTCCAGGCGATATTACGGAGCCATCGATATACTCCGTGGCTTTACCCAAGAGCCGAGTCATGCTTGTGGATATCTTCTCGTATTTCAAAGTATCCGCACTGCCAATCAGAGACTGGGCTTCATTGTAGAGACACTTGATGATCTTTTCTTCTCTTGGCTTGGCATAGATTCTAAATTTAATTGACCCAGTTCCATCGTCTAAAACGTAATTGTAAAAAGATTTGTTATGTACACCGCGACCTGCGACAAAACCGTACACCAAACAACTGTGATACTTCAATTCGGTGGGATTAAACAGAGTGAAGGCTCCTTTGTTGTCTGCATCTGGCTGGGACGCTAATATATCTTTTATAAGTAATGGAATGTGATCATAAATCTTTTCTCCATTTTTTGTGGTTTTTTGTCGCGGAACATAAGTTGATGCTTGATCCTTTGTTTTTCGTATGATAAAATTATCCAGCTGATCCTCAATGTCGTCGGGCGATAAATTTATCATATCGAAACATTTTATTAATTAAATAAGTTTTTAACAAATGTTTTGTTTATTTGAAAATATTTATTTCAATTGACATTTGGGTGCCCAGCTATCGACAATCGAAATCGATATATTTGTTGCTTATGTCATTAGCTCTAGCTCCGGTTCATTCCCTAGATTTGTTGACATTGATTCCATTGTCATTTATATTTCAGCTGGAGGGTGTTCGTTATATTAAATAAAAGCTTAGCTAAATATATCTTCTTTGTATTAGTTTTGTAGTTACTTAAACAACAAAGGTCAGCTATAGACATTGAACAGTAATTCAAAGATACATATATTGATTTCGCCATCCCTTGAAGCTGTATTATTTCATCATCCCTCGTCAGCATTTTCGCAGATTGTGAAATCAAGGTATAAATATAGTTTTTGAAAACAAAAACATACAATCTACAACTAGGCATGTCCGGTGGACCAGCAATAACGCTCAAAAGTCAACCAATAGATGGTAATAATGGCAACAGCGGAAATGCTGCTGCACAGCAGCAACAAACTGCAAATAATGCAGCAGCAGCAGCGTCTTCATCCTCCTCATCCCAGGCTTCAAGTGGCACTGTGCCGCCAGCTCAGGAAGGCACACGCCAAAGTAGTCTGCAGCGCATCCAGCTACGCAAGCAAAAGGTATTTAACCTGCCCGAAGCACAAAAACTCGCCAAATTATCCATGTATTCGGCGTGCCAATTCGAGGGCTGCCGTTGCACTGGCTGGAAGACGCCCCAGGAAAACAGGCATCGAGATGTCGAGTCGTCCTACTGCCCAGAGCCAACTGAAGAGTGTCGAAATGCCAGTTGTCGTCATCCGCTCCGCTCCCACATTTCTCATCTCACCGAGATATCCAGATCTAGTATGGACGAACTATTAGGCGCCATCATTGACATGGAAAATCTATTCATGTCCATGCAGCGCGTTGAGGATGAGGACACAAAGAAGGTTTACTTGTATCTGTTCAGGTTACTGCGACAGTGTGTGCTCACGCGTCAGCAGGCTGTTATTCGTGGTCCTTTGGGCGATCCTCCATTCGAGTCGCCGTGTATAACAAAAGCTGTTCTATCCTTGGTTTTCTACAAGTACAGCCACTTGAACCCCACTGAACTGCAAACCATGACAGAGGTTGCGAAGACTTTTCTGAATTTTCTCAATCATTACAATTTTGAGTCGCCCTCCGCAAGGCGCGGCGATCCAACTCTGACGCACGAGGATGCATCGACCTATAAGATCAATTACACGCGTTGGCTGGTATTTTGCCATGTGCCCGCCTTCTGCAATTCTCTGAGGCAGTTTGAGACATCTCTCGTTTTTGGACGCACTCTTCTGCGCACTGTTTTCCAATATATGTCGCAGCAGCTAAAGAAGAAATGCATTTCGGAACGAGATCGTTTTCCCGAAGACAAACGCTCCATCATTACGCAAATGCCAAAGTTTTTGGAGGCATTAAGGGCTGAGTTGCTAAAAGATGATTCGCCCATATGGGACTCGACATACAGGCCACCGAATTCCTTTGTCGTACAACAAAGAAAGCGTCATCAGGAAGTGGCACCACCAGCCACCATTGCGTCTGCTGGTGCAGCTGCTCCCAGTGGCAGCAAGCGCTCAAGCGTAGGAGAACCTGCTCACAAGAGGGTCAAAAAGGAGGTTGCAGAACGTGTAACCAGGTTAGTTTCTAGCAAACTGAATCTGTCTTTGTTTTAATAGACTACTATTTATTTCGTTCCATAGCGAAAACCAGGACGATTTGCCAATTGAAGTAGTGATGCGTGCCATGAAATCCGTTGCAGAGTCGAAGACATCAAACAAATCAGAAATCTTGTTTCCCATCAATGTGTCACGCGATGAGAATGTCAAAGCCGAGGAGCAAAAACGCGCAATTGAATTTCACGTTGTCGGAAATTCGCTTACCAAGCCCGTGGATAAGCAAACGATCCTTTGGCTGCTCGGACTGCAGCTGGTATTTGCCTATCAGCTGCCCGAGATGCCGCGTGAATACATAAGCCAGCTTGTCTTTGACACCAAGCACAAAACCCTGGCACTGATAAAGGAAAATCAGCCCATAGGCGGCATATGCTTTCGCCCATTTCCCACCCAGGGCTTCACAGAGATTGTCTTCTGTGCAGTGACCATGGCGGAGCAGGTGAAGGGTTATGGAACCCATCTAATGAATCACCTAAAGGATTACAGCATACAACGTGGCATTAAACATTTGCTCACCTTTGCGGATTGCGATGCAATCGGTTATTTTAAGAAACAAGGTTTCTCCAAGGACATCAAATTGGCACGTCCCGTCTATGCGGGCTATATAAAGGAGTACGACAGTGCTACACTAATGCACTGCGAGCTGCATCCAAGCATTGTGAATACACAATTTATTGCCGGTCAGTTAACTGGATGCGATCCTTAATTAATTGCCAATTGACAGACGTATTTTTGCTTTGTTTTCCAGTTATTCGCAATCAAAGTGAGATTCTTAAAGAGCTCATTGCACAACGACACAACGAGGTCCAAAAAGTAAGAACTGGCTTAACTTGCTTTAAAGAGGGATTGCCATCTATACCGGTTGAGTCCATACCTGGCCTGAGGGAAATCGGCTGGAAGCCGCAAATGCGTCCAGTGCGTGCCTCTCGTCCACTGGAAGAATCCACAGATCCAGAGAAACTGGCGACTCAGTTTGCATCTGTCTTACAATCTGTGCGTCAGCACACTGCAGCCTGGCCCTTCCTTCGCCCAGTTACTGCGGCCGAGGTTCCCGATTACTACGATCACATCAAATACCCCATGGACCTCAAGACAATGGGCGAACGCTTGAAGAAGGGATATTATCAGACACGGCGCTTGTTCATGGCCGACATGGCTCGCATTTTCTCTAATTGTCGCTTCTATAACTCTCCTGAGACCGAGTATTATCGCTGCGCCAATTCTCTAGAGCGATATTTTCAAACCAAGATGCGTGAGCTGGGATTGTGGGATAAATGATCTGACGATCCTATTTCGATCGCATGAACTGAATAAATTATGTAGTACCTATCATATTCATATACAAATATATGACATTATTTATATTTCAGTTTCTACGAAGCTAAACTTTTGTAACTCTATTCCCAAGTTAATAAAATATTGAAAGGAAAACTTATCTTTCATTCTTTTTATTTTGAAAAACAAAAATACTTTTGAAAATATTTTAACTAATTAGCTCATATAAAGCAAAAGAATGTAACTGAAACTGGACTGTAATTGAAATAATTATATATGATATTGTCATTTATCTATAATCCACTTTAGTATAACGATGATCCAATATATAATAATAATTCCTTTAACATAATTAGCTTAAGCTCGATTTCAGTACTTTTTGATACCAATTTTTAAATTTAAACAAAAACCCCTTTATTTTATCCATACCAATAGAGCCTTCCAATAACAGATAGTCTATTGGAAAATTTGATTCGTTCATTACTTATAAGCAACATATACATATATATTTATTACAGTTTCATACAGGTTTGTGCTCAACATAGAAGTAGTGTGTCCATTCTATATTTAAGAAAAAAAAAACAATAATGAAGAAAATCAATGAAAATAGAACCCATTGGGCTCCGAAATAGAAAAATATAACTCGGTAAGTTATTTTGCTCTGAATTTAATATGAATTATATGGCTTATTTATATGAAACATTTACAAAAAACATGTTTGATGTACAATCCGTGGAGTATTGTTGTAATATCCCCATTCAATTCCGGCTACTCGAATACAGATGAAAAGTAAGATGATAACTTTAAAATAAATTTCTTTTAAAAATCAGATCATTAATCGGAATCTTACGCGAACGAACATCCACGCACAATGCGTACAGCTAACTCCTTAAACTATAAAACTGTAGTATAATGAGATATTGTTGTGCATTCCTGGGTGACAGAATATGTTTTTCTCTTAACTTTTCAATTGTTTTTTTTTTTTTTTTTTTTTTTTTGTCTGCAATTGTTTTGAAGGCTGCTGCAAGCTAAATACATAGTTGGTTGTTGGTGTAGACATATTTAAGTAGCGTAATTAAAAATATATATATTTTAGCTCCCTCAAACACATGAAACGCATTCAACTACACACTATATATATATATTAAGAACGATTTCGGCTATAGACCCGGAAAAAATTATCGAAAAATTTAACTAATCTCTGAAAGACACGCTATAATTGTAGTTTTGGATTTTTGTTTTGCCTTTTTCTTATAAACAATAAGGGTAAGTATTTTATTTCTTGCCCACACTACTGCTGATAGGTGATTTATTTTTATTTTTTTTACAATTCTTAATTTCTTTTTTAGCTTTTTGTTTTTGTTGTTTTCCATATATGTACGAGTTGCTGCTAATTGTTATATATATGCATGTATTTCCATTTCTCCATCATTAAAATTGTTCTTAAAAAAGTTTAAATGCTAGTAACGCTTTGAATTAATTTATTTATGATGTCTGCCCACATTAAGTATAGTTATAGACTTGTTTGTTTGTTTGGTTTTTAAAATATAAACATGTGAATTGCGTTTTGTATTTATTAATGTTGGGAATTCCATGGATTTAATTGTTTCTTTCCTTTAATTTCATAATTTGCGACTCCTAGAGTTTATTTCTTTTTATCTTTTTAACTTTTCATAAACTTATGCTTAACTTTTGTTTTCTTCACATTTATTTCTAAATATATGTAGAGGTGTGTATGTTCTCTCACTATAATCATGTGCTGCCTCGCTATTGACGTTCTAGCATGCCATTTACACAAAATACCTATCCATATGGCTGCTAAACGCTCTCAGATCATATATAATTAATAGCTAAGCAACACGGTGGGCGGGCAGAGAGTGCGCGCAGGACGTCATGAGCGTTACAACACTAAGTAAAATTTTACAATTATTTTGTTTTATGCCATTAGTTCCATAACTCGATTCTTCATGATGATAAGAGCCTTTTTTGTCGTCGATCGGTCGCTTGATTAGGTTGCATTCGGGAAACTAGCTTTGCAATGAGTAGGACTTTTGTTTCTTTTTTTTGTTTTTCTTTTTTTCTTTCATATTTGTTTTTGTAAAGTTAGGCAAGGATTCTCCAATTGTGCGACATTATTGAGCTGAAATATATAAATAAATCCGAAGTCAAATAGTAAGTACATTAACAGGTGAGACGTTATATCACTTACAAACTGCCGCGACCTGTTGCGTCTGCTCTGTGAGCGTAGACGTGGCTGTCTTCGTTGTTGCGGCATTCGATGCCGTGGTGTCCGTGGTGTTGCCTGTACCGGCAGCACTTCCTGCATTGTTGGCAGCTTTCAGAGCTGCGGCTACGCTACCATTTCCATTGGTTATGTTGCTCTGGCGGTTGCCGCCGTTATTGTTACGATTGTTGCTGCGGTTACGATAGTTGCCGCCGCCGCCGCCCATGCGATAGTTGTTTCGATTGTAGCCAGGTGCGCCGCCATAGCCAGCATTCATGCCGCCATTGCCAGCACCACCCATCGCATTGCCATTATTATAATAATGGTTGCGCCCCCGGTAGCTATTAAAAAAATCAATAAATTATTAAATTGCTGGAAGGAGACGTGAGCCTTGCTTTAACTCACCTGCCACGTCTGGTGGAGGAGACGCCAAACGTCTCGGTATTTAATTTGCGCTCCTGACGCCAGTCATTCTTTTTGTTCTTACTGCGATCCTGAGCAGCCTCGCACGAGATGTTGTCAAAGAACGATTTGGTCTTATCGTAACCAATATGCACGTCGTCCTCTTCAGGCTCATGCTCGCCGGCGCCGGTTTCGTTGCCAGAGTCGTCTTTCTTATCGGTCTCACCATTTAACTGTGCAAAGTTCAACGGAATAGCAATTTAACAATTTGAAATAAAATACGTATTCGCATGAGTGTGTGGTGCATTGTATGAGTTGAGTGTAAATTGTTTTTTTTTTTTATAAATAAAATCATAAATAAAGTAAACAGGGCACTACAGTTAAGATGATTTTAAATGAGTCAAAAAATTAATATAAACAAACGAACTTATACCTCATCAGTAGTGGTAGAAGTTGTTGTTGTTGTGGCTGTTGTGGTGGCTGTTGTTGTAGCTGTGGTTTTGTTGGGTTCGTCGCCCACCTTGAGTTTCGCCAGCTGGGATCGCAGCTCCTCGAACTTATTATTGGCCTGCTCGAAATCAAAGTCACCCTCAAATTTGATCTTGTTGCGCGGCTTATTCTGATTAGCCGATTGCGGACGATAGCCCTGCTGATAAACAAACAAATTCCAACATAAATATGAATGCCGAACGCAATTTGGAATTGTTTATTCTATTGCTAGAATTTACCTGATTTGGTCGCATTGGCCCACGTGTACCCATGCCGCGATTGCCACGCATCATCATATTATTCGGATTCTGTGGTCCGCCACGATGCATATTCCATGCACCGTTTCCACCACCGCCGCGCTGCTGCATAGCACCGCCGCCAACACCCCCACGGTTACGTTGATTATTATAGTTGTAATTGTTGTTGTCCATTTGACGGCCAGAATCACGGCGATCGCGCTGTTGCTGCTGCTGCTGGTGGGGATGATTGTAGAAATCGTTGTTGTGGTTATTCCTCTGATTCTGCTGCATGTTGGTTCCTCCTCCTCCGCCTCTCTGCTGCTGTTGTTGCTGCTGCTGCTGCTGCTGATGGTTTTGGCGCTTATGACCGGCATCGCGCGCATTACCACCTCCACCGCCGCCGCCAATAGCTTGTGCAGAGTTTTGCTGCTGCTGATGAATCTGCTGCTGTTGCTGGGAGTGCTGCTGAGTCAGGTCGGCTGTTGGACTGATGATGAGGCTAATAGGCGTGGTCGAACGCGAAGCGCTCGCTAGCATATCTAAAACAGAAACTTTACATATAGACAGGAAGACGTGCATGTATGCAGATTAATGATGTGTATGTGTGTGTGTGTGTGTGTGTGTGTGTGTGTGTGTGTGTGTGTGTTTAGGTGTAGGTGTAGGAGTGTAGGTGTGAGAGTAATTTTTATGTTGTGTGTCTTCAACTTACTTTGTTTTGGCTGCTGCTGAGGCTTTTGTTGCTGCTGCTGCTGATTACCGCCAATGTTCATGAACGGTCCTCCACTGCCAGGTGCGCCGGCACCTGGTGCCAAGGAGCCGGGGCCCAGACTGGGTGCGCCCAAGGCACCAAATGGATTGCCATTTCCAAATCCAGTGCCAGGTGCTCCAGGTGCACCTCCACTGCCACCAGGCATCGATGGACCAGTATGTTGTTGCTGCTGCTGCTGTTGTTGTTGTTGGGGCGCATTCATTGGGAAATGCTGTGGCATTACCTGAGGCCCATTCTGCAGTTGGGCCTGCATAATAGCCGGATCATTGTGATGCGGCAGCGTATGGTTGTTCACAACGCGAATGTCTTTGATATCGGAGCCGCGAAATAGAATGTAATCATAGATCTGCGACTGCGGAGCTATTTGAAACTGCGTATCACGGTCCTCCGTGCCAAAGGAGCGCACTGTTTAACGATAAAATAAAAAGACATTTTATATATTACCTTAATATATATAAACTTGTATGTATGCATATATGTGCTTATGTACATATGTATTTTCTGTTATATTCCATACATATGCATGGACGGGTATGTATAAAATGCGAAAAACGCGGCAAGGCACGAGTATGAAGACAGTCATCGAAAGTACAGTGTTGTAATTGCTATTAAATTACAAATAGTAGATATTTAATTTTGTGTGATAGGTCAACATTAGCTTGTATGCAAAATCTCCCTTGGTCCATTTAAATCATTCCCATGCTAACGGTAGTCGCTGCCATAATCCGTTAATTGACCCTGGCGCCAAAAATTGGTTTTGCCAGGGAAATAACGAACACATGCACAAGTCTCTATCTGACTAACACATGTATTTATTTTGATGTAAATCAGTACACGCACACATATATATGTACAGCTACATGCATTATATGCATGTGTGTGTACTTGTACGTTTATATGTATGTCATTTTGCGCGTGCATGGGGATGCAAAAGCAACACTGTACAACCCGAAGCTCTATCTGTGCCGACAGCATCTGAGCTTCGCAAACATGACAAACAAAAAGCACAAGAGAGATGGAGAGAGAGAGGACAAAAGCGAGAGAGTGGGAGAGCGAGTTGAATACTGTCGAGTGTGTCTGCCCGCTCTTTGCGCGATGAGCAGCAAATTACTGTAAAAACTAACTGAAGCAACCAAAAACGTGAACAAAAAAATTCAAAGAAACCATTTTCTTTTCAGCACCCGCCTTTGCATTTTACCGTTTTAGTTTTATAGCACAGATTACATTGTGCACATACATACTTACATACATAGATATATGTACATGCAAGCCTGTCCACATTTAAAGAAGAAAAATAACACGAACGTGTGGGCATGCATATGAACATATATTTTATATTTTACTTACCACTCGATAGGGCGATTGTACACTCTTGTGGATCCACCGTATATAGGCGGCCTTCATACCTAATGTCAGCTTTCGAAATTAGGCTGATCTTCGAGCCCAACTCCGGTAATCCCCCACTCATTTTGAATTCTGATTGTTTCACTGTTCGGCCCGCGTATTAATACAAGTATATTTAATTCACCAGTTTTTACCAAAAAATGTTTCTGCTTATGGCCGACAATTGCCGACGAATGGAATAATCAAGTAAAGCAAACAATTATAGCGAGCGCGACGTTGCCCCGTTTGCGAGCGAGTGTTGCCTGCTGCGCTGCAGTTTCAACCTTTCGACGTTGACAAGCACGCAATAACTTTCTTTTTCCAGAGCAAATGTTGAACTTTCAAAAGGTAGATTTTTAATACAATAGATATGGAGCACAGTTTGAAAATTATATCAAATCAAATAGATAAATTAGTAAAAATGATAAATTTTTTGCAATTCGTAATGTGGAAAATTTTTTCACCTTCCGTCTGCAAAAACCTACCCGTCGAAAGTGGAAGATATTCCTACGAGCAAAAGCACTCGCTAGCATGTTAAGTGTTGTTAAACGTCAAAAGCTGGGGCTGCATAATTCTAAATGATTACACACTTTTCACATATTGATGATAATAATCTTAACTTATATGTGAAAATCAATTAGTTGGGTTTTAAAAACATGGTGGGTGATCAATTTTATTTTAGTGATTATTTATAAATAATTGTTTGTATATACCAGAAGTATGGCAGCACCTTCAAAAAATTAATTCACAAGCAAGCGACAGCACTGGCAGCTGAACATGCAACCCTGCGTTTGTCACCGCGTTTAACATTCAAAACGTTCGATTCTGAACAAGGCGTCGCTTGATTTTTGTCGACGGCATCAGCTAAATAAACACTGCATGTAGCTGTTAAAATATTGTTAAATTACACAAAATATTAATATGCCGCCACAACGCGAGCCAATTAGTGTGCGCACGACGCGACTCAATAATTTAATATTAGGTAAAGGAGTTGGCGCCGTGCAAAAACCTTTGACAAGCGCATCAAGACGCAGCGTTGTGCCTCTAAATACTGCAAGTGCAGCTGTCGCAGAAGCCATTTGTCGAGAGGGTTTGCTGGACGCATTCTGCCTGCTGTACAATGAGTGCGACAAAGAGACCCTTAAGAAACGCGACCGCAACATAGCGGAATTTGTAAATAAATGTAAGTTCTTTATTATTTTTTAACTTTACTATGACATTTAAAGTACCTTTCCGATCCAGTTCGTCCGATCATTGAGGAAACGCGCCAACTGCGCGTAAACGCAGATGATTTTGTTATTAAGGCCCTCATTGGCAAAGGCTATTTCGGCAATGTCCATTTGGTGGTCGAGCGCCAAACATCCGATGTTTACGCCATGAAGAAGATCAAGAAATCGATGGTGACCACATCGCAAGTGGAACGCGACATAATGTCCCAGCGTAATTCTGAGTGGCTGACCAATTTACAGTATGCCTTCCAGGTGAGTTTCATTTACATACAAAATATATACATAATTAAATTGAATTTTATTCGCAGGACAATGACAATTTGTATTTGGTCATGGAATATCTGCCAGGAGGTGACCTACTCAGTCTAATGTCCCGTCACGGACCTTTTGACGAGGATATGGCCCGCTTTTATTTAGCCGAGCTAACACTGGCTCTCCATACGCTGCACACCATGGGCTATGTTCATCGAGATATCAAACCGGAAAACATTTTGATCGATCGCTTTGGCCACATCAAATTGGCAGACTTTGGCAATGCTGCTGCCTTGGACCGAGATGGACATGTTTTGAGTCTTTCACCAGTTGGCACACCAGACTATATAGCTCCAGAGCTCTTACAAACTATATCAACCTATAAGCTATCAAAATCTATGCATGACGTGAGTGTAACTGTATGATTAATATATTTTATCCTACTCACAAATGAAATATGAAAGAAAGAACTTAATGAGTTTCTTCATATTTCATTTCATGATTTTTCACTGAATTGCTTCATATTCAATTATAATAACTTTTGATTATTAATTTATTAAACAGGTAAGCTGCGATTATTGGTCCATGGGCATAATTGGCTACGAGCTGATATGTGAGATTACGCCCTTCCACGAGGATAACGTCCACGAGACCTATTCGAAAATACTTTCGCACTGCGAGGATAGCCGTTTGAAGAAAATAGTTAGTTTTCCCAGCGATCTGAAAATTTCTAGCAATTTGAAACATTTGATCGGTTCGTTGGTCACGAATCCAACGAACCGGCTTTCGTATGATCAGATCGTAAAGCATCCATTCTTCGAAAGCATCCAGTGGAGCACAGTCCGTTCGCAGGTGCCGCCCATTATACCCACCATCAAGTCGGATGATGATATCTCCAACTTTGAGGACGGAATACGGCATAAAGCGCGCCGTGAACCGCAGGCGAAAAAGTCACTGACTTCGAACATGAAGTCGAACGATTTTAGCGGCAAGGATTTGCCTTTTATTGGCTACAGTTTCGTTCATTTGGAAAATGATTACAGTGCAGCCGATGGTTCGGATACAGCACGTACAACTAAGCTGCAGGAAAAGCTGCGAACTCTGCAGCAAAAGTTGAAATCACGCGAAGGGGAGATCCTAAAGCTAAGACAGGAGCTGGTTAAAGCACAACAAACTGTTAAGCAGAGTGACGGGTCATCTCAAGTGGTGCTTGAAGCTAAAATGGAAATCACAAAACTCCAAGATATTATTAAGGAGAAGACTATGGAGCTGGCCAGCTGCAAGACTCAAATCAAAACGTTGCAGAGCTCAGCGAAAATTGACGAAGAAATGTGGTCGAAGAAAGAAGCCACAATCACGGATTTATTGCGCCTGAATCGCCAGAAGTACGAGGAGGCGAAAATTGCATCCGAACAAAGATATGAAAAGCAGCTGGCGGAGAAGAAACAAGAGCTGGCCTGCACGGTGCAAAAGCTGGATGCGCGTGAGCTCGAATTTCATGCCAAAACTGACGAATGTAAACATCTTCAAGACAAGCTGGAGAACTACAAGGAAATGCTGAAGCAGCTGAAGGAACAGAGCGTTAAAGCCGACACCAATCACGAGAAGCAGAGACAACAGCTAACAGATAGCTATGAGCAAAAGCTTTCAGAGCTGCGACAGAAACTGCGCGAATCGCAGGACACCCACCGTCGCATGACCTTCGAGCTGCAGAATATACGCACGGAGCTGGACGAGTCAATTAGCTCGGGTAAATCAAACCAAGAAGCTAAAAATGCGACAGAGCGTAGCATCGAGGACATACTCCAGAGACTCAATTGCGAGATAAGCGCAAACAACGAGCTGCGTGCAGCCAAGGCTTCTCTAGAGACGCAGCTTAGTCTCACCAAAAAAGAATTGGCTGAAGTACAGACGGAATGCAACCGTTTGGAGCGAGAGCTACAGGTGATTGACATTGATTCCCAAATAACTTGTAAATGTCTATAATGATTCTCTTTTGCTTATCTTACAGCTTGCTGAATGCCGTGGAAACTTGGCAGAAACATCGCTTGCGTCTCAGACCTCGCCTTACGAAACAGCGCCAGGTTCGCTGACGGAGTTGCATGCCATTGAGGATCAACTACGCGCCGATTTGGTGGCTGCAAAGGATGCGGAGTCGGCGCAAAAGACTCGCGCAGATCAGCTGCAGGAGCTGGTTTCTAAGCTGGAGAGAATGCTCGAACGTTTCAATGAGCAAAGTTTGTCCCCCATGAAGGGTCATTCGGGGGGTGCTGGTAACAGTGCTGTGGGTGATATGCTCGAGCGGCAGAATGAGAAACTAGAGGATAAACTGGCTGCAGTACGAGAGCAAATGATTGTAGAGCGTCAAGCGGCACGAACCGCTAACTTATCACTCTGGAAGGTGGAGAAACAACTGGAGGAGGCGCTCGCCGAGAAGAAGCTGTTGGCGCGACGCATGGAATTGACGGAAGAGCGCGTCAAGAAGGCGCAGAACGAACGTGACGAGGCACAACGTAAACAGAAATCCACGCAGGATGAGTTCCGTCAGCGCGATGCACGCATTGATGAACTGAAAGCTGAGCTGGCAGCCAGCAAGCGAGATGTACTGAAGGAGCATCGCATGTGGGAGAAAGCCGAGGAGGAGCGCATGAAGTGCAAATCCGAAATAATCGAGCACTTGGCAAACATCCACAGGCTGGAGCAGCAGGTCCGAGAGGTGCGTCAAAAGCTGAATCAGTCCCAGCAACGTTGCGATGGGCTGGGTCTGGAACAGAAGCGTCTACAGCGCGAGCTACAAGAGGAACGAGAGCGCAATGCGGCAGCTGGCGAAAACACTCAGGCCTTGCAAGCGGAGTTGAAGCAACTGACGGATAATTTCCAGCGCCTAAAATACGCATGTAGCATAACTGACAATCAGCTGACGGAGGTGGAGAATATGCTGGAGGCGGAGCAGAAGCGAAACAAGACACAGCAAGCCCAGCTGGATGCTTGCCATGTAAAGCTACGGGAGCGCAACGATCAGGTCACCCAGCTGCGCAAGGATCTGAATGTGCAGGAGTCTGAGAAGCGGCAAGCTGAGCAACATGCGAAAATACTGAGCGTAGAATTGGAGGAGCTCAAGGAGAACTTGAAGCAGTTGCAGATGAAGTTAATATCACAGCAGAGTCAGCTGGTGGAGCAAACGAATGCTCTGTTCGGCGCCCAGGAGCGGGCGGATCAGCTGGATGTGCAGAGCGCCAGTTGCCAGGCGCAGAATGCAGACTACGAGCGGGAGCTGCTTTGCCTGAAGGAGGAGAATGCTCGCATTCTCAGTGAGCTATTCCACAGCAAGGAGGAGGTGCTGCATTTGCATGACGAGGTCAAGAATCTGCAGACAGTGCAAACAGGACTTCACACCGAGATCGATGAACTGCAGAATGCGCTGACCGAAAAGGAACAGTTCTATGTACAGCGGGACATCAAGGCAATGGCTACGCTCGCTCAGCATAAGAAACTCATCGACTATTTACAGGTAATGCGATAGCTATAGATTATTATTGATAATTGATAACTAATACACCAAAATTGTAGCTTAAGGTGGAGGATTTGTCTGCGAAGAAGAAGAAAACACTTGCAGACAAAATCTTTGGATCCAACAGCAATACCAAGGAGAACATATCGCCTAATGATGTGGAGTCATCAATACTATATCGTGCTCTGAAAGAGGAATTGCGCCGGGAACAAAAGCATTCCAAGATGCTGCAGGATCAGTTGGATCAATTAAATGGTAATGCAAGATAGAAAATGAAATGTCTACGGAATATAGTATGGATGAATTGTTCTTTTAGGCACTGCAACTTTACGTTCCCCACGTAAGTCAACCGTTGCCAATGGAGCTGCAGAAGAGCCCAAGCTGAGACCCGCTAGCATCGCCACAGTTCCCCGATCTCCACGCAAGCAGCCGACGACAATAAAACGCTCGGCAAGTCAAACGGAAACCAAAGCAAATTCGAAATCACCAGAAAAGCAGGAGGGCAAAGGCGAAGTAACGCATCATCGTTTCGAGTTGGCTTTGCAAGAATCGAAGGTCGATGCTGCCAACTGTGTGGCCTGTGATCAACCAATTATAGCCGGCTCGCCTTATTGGCGCTGCAAGGAATGCAAGGATGTATCGCACCGCAAATGTCGGGCTAATGTGACTAGCAGCTGTGGCAGCTCAGTTGTGTCGTCTTGCGATGAGGTTAGCGAAACTCGACCAGAGTCCAGCTGCAGCAGCAGTCTGGACACAATGGAAAGCGAGACTAACTGCACTGATGAGTACAAGGGCACACTGGCCTACAATGGCTCACAGAACAGCCACAACGGCGAGGTCATTGAGATCAATTGCGCATTCGAAATAGTGGAGCAGAAAATCTTGCTATTTGGCTGCAACAGCGGCTTGTTCACCTACAATGTGGATGGACAGCGCTTGCTGCATATTGCTGGCATCGAGTCGGTCAGCTGCGTGTCCGTATCGACACGTCTGGCCAAGGCTATGATGGTGGGTGCCAATGGCGAGAAGCTCTACCAGTGTGACTATCGGCAGCTGGAGTCACGTTGCCAGAGCACGATCCCCTGCAACAAGCCTGTGCTGGAGACGTCGGTCATTGAATTGCCCTTTGCCAATCGTTCGGTGAGCGAGAAGTGGAAACTTGTGCAGATCTCAAACGAATCTGAGAATGCTCTCGACTCGGTGGCCATTGCGGCAACTTCGACACGCATTGTCATACTCAAATACGATCATAAGCTGCATAAGTTCAAGCCAGTTCGTGCATTGGACACTGCCACGCCCGTAACATCGATTTTCTATACACGCCACTCGGCCATCGTCAGCTCGGATAAGTTTTATGAAATCGATCTAGATAACTATGCGGCCGAAGAGTTTGTCGATCTGGCAGATAAGACGCTGCAGCACACATCCAACTGTCAGCCCTTCGTAGCTGTGCGTATCTCTCGTCAGGAGTTCCTGCTCTGCTTTGCCGAATGCGGCATCTTTGTCGATGAATTTGGTTGTCGTTCGCGTCCCTATGATTTGAGTTGGGTCTACGCGCCAACTGGCTTCTTATACCGCGAGCCATTCCTTTACGTGGCGCACTATCAGTACGTGCAGATAATGCGCATACATCGCTCCTACAGCAAAGAGATGACCAATGCGGAAAACGGAGACTCATCAGAAATACAACGCGCTTACTTGCCCCATTACATGCCTACTCTGCTGACTTCCAGTGGAGAGCGAAATATTTATACTCTGTCTATAGATAAGCAAGCGGGCTATCAGCAGGTATATCACCTGGATGCATTGCGTGCCTTCAAAAAGAAACTCAACGTGTCCATGGAGACAATATCCTCGGTGGCAACATCAATAACGCTTGGCTCGGCGATGACAACGGATAGTCTATAAGGCGTACTTAACCAATAATATCTCTGCCTGTAAATACATACATGCGTATGTATATAGTATTTAACACAAATTTATCATCAGTCACAAATCACTTTTTATATTATATTTTATTTGAATATTTTAACTATGTTTATTTGCGATTCCAGCGAGAATAAAGCATTTCAATACATTTAGCGCCAAGTTTGAATGTCAGTTATTGGGACACCCTGTGAAAGCTTTAGACTTGTAATTACACCCTGTGCAGCATAACAGTTATTTTTCTTTTCAGTTCGCATAGACTGATGGAGCGGCAACAGCATCTAATGAACGAGTGCCGAGCTTTTGTTATCCAGCGCAGTAAAAGGCCTTTAGGCGCAGGGTGCGGGCGTCATATTTCGGGTGCTCCAAACCACATACGCATACACACACATAAATGTATTGTTATTGTCGCAATTGATGTTAATTTATAGCATGCCGGTTGGCTGGGTATATGTAACCTGACGACGATGTTTAAATCAGAGCGAAAACAAAGCGCGCGTCGCACACTTGCTGCAAGCGCAGCCACTGCTGGTAAAATGTCATTGTGCCGAGCCTGTTTGGTCCTGCTCAGCGCAGAGGAGCCCACCTACGATTTGTACCAGGAAAAGGATTTGGCCGCCAAGTTCATTGGCTGCATGCGTGCCGGCGATGGGCTGCGATTCTTGGGCGCTCCACTGGACAAGGAAGTGAGCCCACAAATTGTGCTGCGATGCATCTGCGATAGCTGCTACCAATTGGTGCAGCGATTCTATGGTTTTCAACGTATGTGCGAGGAGTCCTTTGCGAATTTTGAAAAACTCTTAGCGGAAGTCAGCTCGAAGACCACCTACAACCAGAGAGAAGAGCAACCAACGGAGACGATAAAAGTGGCATTGCCAAGCCCTGCCGAAATTGATTTGCATACAAAAGGCGAGAAATCAATTGTTCAGGCTCAGCCTGTGGAGGTGTCCGTCGTAACGTCTGCCGAGTCAATTGAGGATATTGTGAGTGTAAAATTCAAGAGCAAACCCATGCACAGATAAGTTTTACTGTTTATCTGTGTATGTCTGCACAATCTAATCACATTGGGGCTGATGGTGCCGAGCGCGTTTGAAAGTATAACTGTTCATTTGAGCGTGCGTGTGTAGGTGTGGGTGTGTGTGTGTGCGTGTGCGTGTGTATGTGATACAGAAGACAATGAGCGCAAACAGTCATATATGTTTGTATGTACGTATGTATACGGCACGCTTATTTTATTAGCGTGAGAACGTATCAACATAATCAGAATAGACATACATACACACACACACACAAGTGTAAATACATATACATATGTGTAATTATCTGAATAAATGTTATCAGAGAAGGAAGCGGTTGGGATAGCAACGGCGTCCAATTGTCGAAGCTTTTTAGCTGAAATCTAACAAGGATCGAAATGAAAAGGATGTAAAATATCAATAATTGTCAATAACGGAAATTATAGTTAACTTCATTTTTATATTTTATTTAACCAGCAAGCAACACCTGACACGAGGTACCTGTTAGGCAGGTACTCTTCACAAAATTATCTTGTTTATTTATTATTTTTATATACACAAATACAAACAAGTATAAACAATAAAAGAACTTGTTTGGTATTATCATTTATATGTATACTATATGTTCGGGCATAAGTATAAACAAGTTTAGCTACTAATCTGAATATATATTTGTTTATCTGCAGGAAGAAGTCTATATAATCGAAGATGATGCGGCAAAAGAGATTCTGGGCAAGGAACGGATTGTCAAATCCGCTCAGCCAGGCTACACGAAACGCCCTTTAGGACTTCGCCATAAAATAGAATGCAATATATGTGGTTGTGGGTTCTATAAGATGTCCCTTTACGAGGCACACATGCAGAAGCATCAAGGCAAACAGCCCTACAGCTGTACGGTCAACAACTGCGGCAGGACATATGCGCGAGCTAATTTGCTGGCAGCCCACCTTCGCGAGAAGCACCAAAACAAGCGATCCTCATATGCTTGCACCCACCCCGACTGTAACAAGGTGTACACTGCGCTGCGCAGCCTCAACTATCATATACGCCGCCAACATGCAAAACAGATTGAAGCCAAGAGTCCTATGCACATGTGTGATCAGTGCGGCAAGTCGTATGGGAGGAAGGCTCTGCTAACACGCCATCAATGGGTGCACAGGAGCAAGTGTGAATATGCCTTCGCATGCGATTTGTGTGAGCAACGCTTCTACACCAATCAAAATCTAAAGGATCACGTCCAGAGACGACATGGCAATAAGAAGCAACTGTGGCGCTGCAAACGATGTGCGCGCATCTTTCGCTCTCGTGTCACGTTGTCTGCTCACCTGAACAAGCATCTAAAATCTTGTAGATCCTAAGCAGCTAGTCAAATTCAGTCCATAGTATATATCGTATCCATTGACAGAACTAATCAGTTATTCGATTTTATTTTAATTTTATATATGTATACGTAATTTCAATAACTCTTCAAGCTAACACAACTTATTACAATTTAAAAAGTACAATCATTTTGAAATACTAAAATTTTCGTTTTCGTTATTTTTGTTCATTTTTCTGTAATAGATATATGAATATTTATCGAGTCGAAAAACCGTTGATGCCGTTGTTGCATTAAAAGTAAATACATATATGTAGCGATTGGGTATCTGGGAGGATTACTATATAATTAGCTAACATTCACATGATGGCCGGGCCTGGGCCTGGGCCTGCACGAATTGCTTTAAATCAGTACAAAATTGATGGCAGTCGCCCGCTTACATACTTCAAAAAATCATTTATATAAAAAAAAACAATTAACTAAATTTCATGCTTAAGTTTAAAGAAACAGACGTTATGGAAAATACATACATATATATCATATTACATTACATATAATTAATTTGCTTCAAATTCTTCAAAATTAAAAATCCAATAGTACCTATATATATATATATCAATGATAATCAGGAGAATGCGAATGTACCAAAACAGCATGAACTAATATAAAGGTTGAGATGTGGGTGGGTGGTGTGTATGTAGTGCGGTGTTTGTTGGTTGTTTGTCGCACCAGACATACAAATGCTTAATAAATACGCCACAATATGAGCATAGATGAAAATGAAGGGGTCGCCGCCATAGGTTCCTTTTTTTTTTGGTGTTTAGGTATCCTTGTGCTTCTCATAGAAGGCATCTAGGTATTTTTTGTACTCATTTTGATCGTTCCACATCATCGCGGCCTGCGCATTTAATGGACTCTCATTGTTCGGTTCGCCCAACAGAGATTGTATGGACAATAGTATTGTGCGCACGTCGTAGAGTGCCGACCATTTGTCTTTGAGTATGTCTAAACAAATAGCGCCCTGCAGGTCGACGTTGGGATGAAAGCAAGGCGTCAAAAATTTAACCACTGGCGCGGCATACGGATAGGAATTTGGAAAGTCAAGCGACAAGCGATATGTCTGGCTCGAATACACAGTATTTATTGGGCCAGCGATGGTGCCGACCCATTTGAAAATGTTTTCGCCGTCTGGAAATGCCGATATTCCCTTCTCGTTGGCCATCATTAAGTTCATGAGTTCTTTGTGCAGTCTATGTAAAACACCAACAAAACAAAAATTAATGCAAATCATTTGGTTGTTGCACAAACATACATATGTATATCTATATACATATATATGTATCAAAATTTGGCGCCTTACCTTTTGCTCACAGCATGATTGTCTTTGATAGGTAGCGAGTCATCATTGTGTTTGCTACTGCCACCAGCACCACTCTGTTCAGGGCTGATGTTTTGTGCCATTGCGTTGCACTCTGGGAATTTAGTTGGGTGTTTAATATGCTAAAAGTGTCACTATATATACTGCAATGTCAATTTTGGTAATGCGCGTCTGTTACTTTTGAGAATCTTTTTTCACTAAAACAAAATGGATGGAGGCAACACAGTGTTGCTTTGAGCGTGCGCAGGGTTGTATTTCCCGTCAGCTGAAAAATAACAAATAGCTTGCTCTATAAGCGAGTAACAAATAAGAAAATAATATTAATAAATAAAGCATACAGCAGAATCATCAATCATTTATACATCTTTGCTATGACATCAATTAGTTGGAAGGAGCGATGTGCATATTTGATAATTTAGATTCTTCGCAGCTTTATTGGTAGCACTTCAAATAAATAAATAAGACTACGATATTTAAATACTATGAGTTCATCTCTAGTAAAATATCGTAAAAGTTTATTCATATTAAAAAAATAAAAGCTTGATTTAAAATTATTTGGGTATGGCGTCGCTTCCGGAAGTATAAATGAATATGTAAGATATATATTGTTTCGGCTATTAGGATATGCCAAGGTGTAACAGGAGAATATGTATGCATCTAACGGTTTCGATATTGAAGTTACCTTAAGAATCTGTTTATAGGGGTTTTCATGACAAAGCTAAGCTATAAATGAATTAGTTATTTTTTATACAGCTTTATCAATGTGTAAAATTGACCTATCTTTTCAGAAGTCCAAACTGAATTCATTTCTAAATGGAAGAGAACAATTTGATTTATGGTTTGGAATTGCAGGCTCGGGCTCTAACGCCACAATACGGCGAAGGCAATGATGTCTGCTTTTTTATAGCCACCAACTCGCTGAAGCCCACCAATCAGTTGCATCTGTTGCAATATGACGAGGAGCAGGGCACCATACAATCAAAAGTGAGCTAGAAATCTATTTATTGTACACATTTTTTTATTGATCAACGTCTTTTCAGATCTTCGAGCATGCACTGGGTGAGGTTTGGAAACTGAATAGCTGTCCTCACGATGCGCATTTGCTGGCATCTGTGTACAACGTACAAAAAGGAGCTCAGGTGTTTTCACAAGCAGCACTCTTAACTTTACCGAATGACGATTCAAGGAATAAAAATGATGTTGAGCCCATCAAAAGTGAATATATACCATGGGCCAAAATTGAGGTGCTAGACACGGCTGACTTGGGCGAGCGTGTGAAAACTGTTGAATTCCATCCAAGCCAAGAGCAAACGTTGGCCTGTGTGGTGGGCAACAAATTGGCTGTGATGCAGCGCGCGGAAGCATCTACTCGCGTGATAGCCGAAGTCAGCAGTGGTACCAGCGGTGCCAAGCACACGTCACCATTTACCACTGGCAAATGGTCGCATCATCATCAGGGACATCAGTTCTTGGCCTTGCATGACACGAGTATTCGGGCATACGATGTGCGGGACACTCAACATTGCGCGTGGAGTATAGAGGATTCACATGGACAGTTCGTGCGCGATTTGGACTGTAATCCGAATAAACAGTGTCATCTAGTGACAGGTGGTGATGATGGATGCCTAAAAGTGTGGGATTGTCGCATGGTCAAGGCCCCAGTATTCGAACGCAGCGATCATTCGCACTGGGTGTGGTCGGTACGGTTCAACACATTCCATGACCAATTAATACTATCCAGCTCAAGTGATTGCAAGGTTCTACTGACCTGTGCAGGGTCAGTGAGCTCAGAGGCTCCAGGCACTGATGATAGCGAAGAACTTGAAACGGGCGCTTCACAGGAGAGGCATAAAGTGCTTTCAGATGGCTTACTACAGACCTTCGACCAGCATGAGGACTCTGTGTACTGTGCAGAATGGAGTAATGTAGATCCTTGGATTTTCGCATCGTTAAGTTATGACGGCCGCGTTATAATCTCAAAGGTACCGAAACAATACAAGTACCAAATCATTATGTAACCTATTGCATATACTAGATATTCCACTAGAACGTATAATAAATATTGTTTAGATAAATATGTTAAATAAAGCAAATTATTAACTAATGCTTAACCAGTATCTTCTGACGTACAATCGGAGGAGTCATTGGGATTGGCTGTCTCCACGGAGCAGACACGTTTTATCAGTTCATTTTCTATCTCAACAATACCGTTCTCGATAGCCTCCTGCATTTGCACGTATTCAATTGTCGCTCCGCTCTTTTTGGGAGCTGGCTCTGCCGTGGGCTTCGGCTGTGATGATTCCGCTAACTGCGCAGCCTTCGCAGCTTCCGTTTCATCTTCCGCCTCCTCGGCCAAGCTACTGCGCTGGGGCTGAACTTCTGCATATATAGCAGGATATTGCTGCTGTAGCTTTTGCTTTATTATGCGCACCTTGCGAAATATGTAATCTAGATCCTTTTTCATTTCACTCAGTAATTTTACATGTCGTTTGAAATCTTCACTTGCATTCTTCAAACGGCTTTGCGACAAGGCATTGCAGTTGAGCAGCATTTCATTAGTTTTCTCAAAGCGCTGTAGCCTTTAAGTATATATTTGATAATTATTTATTTGCTTGTCATTTTTATCTACTCACATTTGTTTTTGTGCTCTTATCATGGTCTCTACATCGCTCTGATTTACCATTCCAGATAGACCTTGTATAAAGGATTCGGCCGCTGTATAGTTGTTAAATTCATATCCATTAAAAGACTCCAGATCTGGTGTAGTATCTGCATTGTCCTCCGCTATATCCGTAGCTTTAATTTCAGACATTAAGCTTGCTGACCAGAAGATACAAACAAAACATAAACAAGTATTATTTATACAGCACTATCAAAACTAATCGATAAATCAAAGCTTAGTCGATATATCGCGAAGTCACTGTGTCAACGGTCAGAAATAATTATTGCAAATTCTGTTACTTGTATATTTAAAAAATATATATATATTTATATATATAATAATTCTAACAGAAAATCTTGGAGGAAATGCGAAAATACTTTTTGAATGTAAAGTCACTACATTTTATTGTTAACAGATGTTTTGCTTCTCGGGCAAATGTTAAATGTTAGTAAGCTCTGTTCATAGCATTTTTGCAAATGTTAAACCTCTTGACAGTCAACAGCTGTTCAGAGAATAGCTTAGCTTGTGGAATAATTGGGGAATTGCTTCTTTTTTTTTTGTTATTCGTTTTATTATTTTATTAGCTATGAAGCTGGCACCGACAGTTAAATTGAATAATGGATACGAAATGCCCGTTTTGGGGTTGGGAACGTACAATGTGAGTTGCGTTTAATTATAATAAATATTTCTTATTAAATAAGTATATAATTAAATATTTATATTTATATAATATTTATATAATTATATTAAATATTTCAGTCCAAGAATAATGAAGGGGAAATAGCCATAAAACACGCGATTGACATTGGATACCGGCATATCGACACCGCCTACTTCTATCAAAACGAGGCTGAGGTAGGCAAAGCTATACGGGATAAGATATCAGAGGGCGTAGTCAAGCGCGAGGACATTTTCTTGGTTACAAAGGTAAGACTGAATACTCGGAATCATTTTAAATTCATATTTCAAACAGACAAATGAATTCTTTTAGCTCTGGAACATTCATCATGATCCCAAATACGTTGAGACTGCATGCCGCAAGCAGCTGTCCAACTTCGGCTTGGACTACATTGATCTGTACTTGATGCACATGCCTGTTGGCTACAAGTATGTCGACGAGGAAACGCTTCTGCCCAAAGATGAAGCAGGTCAGCTTCTGCTGAGCGACATTGACTACCTGGATACCTACAAGGCGATGGAACAATTAGTCAAAGGTGGCCTGGTGCGCAGCATTGGAGTGTCGAATTTCAACAGCGAACAACTGTTGCGTATTATCGAGAATTGTGAAATCAAGCCGGTGACCAATCAAGTCGAGTGCTCGCCGGCAATTAATCAGAAGAAATTGACGGCCTTCTGCAAGAAGTATGATGTAACCGTAACTGCATACACGCCTCTGGGTAGACCAAATCCGGAACAGCAGAAGCCTGACTTCCTCTACTCTGCCGAAGTGAAGGCCATAGCTGAGAAATACAAGAAGACAACTCCCCAAGTTGTGCTACGTTATTTGGTATATATAGTAGAATAATTTCTATGACAACTGTGGTCTAATCCTACGACACTTTTTTTTAATGATTTAAGCTTAGTTTAAAATTCATTATCACTGTAATTTTTCATTTAACTCTTCTACTTAAAGGTGGAATTAGGTGTAATACCCATTCCAAAATCCTCAAATGTTGGACGCATAAGTGAGAACTTTAACATTTTCGATTTTGAGCTGACGGCGGAGGAGAGATGTGTACTGGATGGCTATAACACTGGCGAGCGATATGTGCCTTTGAATTTGATCAAGAGTCTCAATCACAAGTACTATCCATTTGGCATTGAGTTTTAAAGCAAAAAAAAAATATAAAAAACATAAAAATATATATTTATGTAATATGATATTTAAAATAAATTGCAATTTGCGCACCGTTTCTTAATGGTCATAAATTCAAGTATTTAAATTATTTAAAGCTTTAGACAACTCAAAATTGCCAAGATATTGTGTGTAATCGAAATTGATTTATTATTTTGTTTTTATATTTCTGAACCAATAATATACACATATTCATAATATAATGATACCCGCACGTTGTTTAACCACATGTGAGGACGATGAGGAAGACAACACCCGGGTCGCTCTTATACTGGGCGAGAAGCCCGTCTGCGGGATCAAGAACCTGCTGATGGCACCCAAGATCAAGCTCAGCAGCGGCTACGAAATGCCTGTGCTAGGACTTGGCACGGCTAATGTAAGAGCAGCATCTGTAAATCTGTTAAATCCTTTCCGATTTCCCACTGCAGATGCGCGGATATCAATGCCTGACTGCCATCCATTGTGCTGTGGAGACTGGGTTCAGGCACTTCGATACGGCTTACGTCCATGAAAACGAGAGGGAGGTGGGCGAGGCCCTGCGCACGCAAATCCAAATGGGAAATGTCTCCAGGGAGAATATCTTTCTCACTACCAAGGTAAGTCCGATTTGATATGCCTGCACAATGATTCTCCGACTCCACGCTAAGCTTTGGAATATCCATCATGATCCGCGAGATGTGCGTCGCATATGCGAGAAGCAGCTGGAAGCACTTGGCTTTGACTACATCGACCTATACCTAATGCACTTCCCAGTCGGCTTTACACACTTATGCGATGAGATTCTCTACCCTAAGCAGGACGATAAAGTACAATTATCGTACGTAATAGAGATTCTCATTTAAAATGTTCTCTTAAATATAACTATATTCCATTTCGATAGCGACGTGGATTACATCGACACGTGGCGGGCGATGGAGGAGCTGGTTAAGCTGGGTATGGTGCGCAGCATTGGTGTCTCCAATTTTAATATGGAGCAGGTGCAGCGCATCATCCAGTGCAGCTCATCCAAGCCGGTTGTCAATCAGGTGGAAGTCTGGCCTGGCTTCATGCAAAAGGACTTGGTCGACTATTGTCGCTACAATGGCATCGTTGTGACTGCCTACGCGCCAATTGGCCAGCCGGATCGTGAAACTCATACACCCATCTACTTCTTCTCCGAGGGCATGCGACGTCTGGTGAAGAAATACAAGCGCACGCCTGCCCAAATCGTGCTACGTTATCTGGTATAGCCAGCAGCATGTGAGTTGATCCTAGCTCGTCGACCTGACTAATGGATCTCAATATATTCCCAGATTGACTATGGGGTGGTGCCCATACCCAAGGCAGCAAATCCCTTGCACATTAAAGAGAATCTGAACATATTCGATTTCCAGCTGACTGAGGAAGATAGGCGTCTGCTCAAGGGCATCAAGCCCAAGGATCGCCTCATGAAATTTGAGGAAGCTGCGGAGCATCCTTTCTATCCGTTCGAGCGAGAGGATGAGCGTGATCGCCGCACCGAGGAATTTGAGAAGGAAGATGGTACACCCAAGAGGGCGTCGGCGGCAGCACCCGCTGATGGGCCAGCCGAGGGTGAAGAGGGTGGAGAATAGACAAGGGAACCTATTGAATTATTCATTTGTTCTCACAAAATTGTTGTGCGTCTCAATAAAATTCGAGGTATTATATATTTATTTAGGAAGTTTTTCGTGCATATTCCTGAAGTTAGCGTCGGAAGTATAGATATTATAAAGTAAAATAAATATTGCAATACCTTAAATATGGTGAGCAAAGATAATAAAGATAAAGATAAGCCACTAATGTATTCTAGAGAAAAAGACCGATCTTCTGCCTATCGCAAGATAATTATACAATTTTTGGCCGTGGTTCTTGTTGTTATGCTCAGTCAAAAAGTATGATTTGATATTGCTTTATGACCCGTTTGACAAGTCAACAATATTATAATGATTCCATAATTCCATAAACTGAAGTCGTGAAGGTTAAAACTTCTGGTATATAAGCCGGCTGCGTGGGCGGCATGGAATCAGTTAAGAACTTCCATTACAATCCAAGAGACAAATCATGATCAAGTTGATCGCAGTTCTGGTTATCGCTTCCCTGGGCTTCACTGCTGTACAGAGTCAGGAGGAGCTCAAATGCGGCACTTGCCTGGCAGAAAACGAGGTGCTTTGTGTATCGGAGACATCCTATTATTTTTGCTTTGGTAAGTACTGAAGGATACTCTTAAGGACTTTCGCTAATATTAAATCAGATGGCGTGTCACTTGGCGACGAGCAACAGTGCACTGGAGATACCGTTTGCAGCAATGCAGAAGAAATCTGTGTGCCTAAAACTCAGATATCCGAAACAGTGAAGAATGTATGCGGAGATGCTAGCATCGGAGGCTGCGGCAAATGTATCACGGGCAATAAATACACCTGTGTGAGCCCTACGCAAGCAGCCCGTTGCGTAAATAACGAAATAGCTAGCATCATCAATTGCAAGGGAGACGAGATTTGCATTGCAGACGTTGAGGTCGGTTCCGTCTGTGTGCCCCAGTGTGCCGCTGCCTATGTAAGTAGATCATTCAGAAATATTTAGCGAGTTCGCGGATTACATATATCGGGTCTTTACAGCTGGGAAAGAATGCCACTTGCAACGAGGATGCCGAGTATACCACACCAACTCCAGCGCCAAGCACAACGCCCAGTCCCGACGAACGTTCAAGAATCTGCAATGAGGCATCGGAGGGTGTTACAGGATTATTTTTCTATACACATGCCGATGAGAGCTGCAGGAACGGCGTCTATTGTCAGAGGCCCAGTCTCTCCAGCACCGACTGGACAACCTTTTATAGACCATGCTCCGCTCCCACGCCTTATTTCAATACGCTCCTCAAATATTGTGTTGAAACTAAGCCGACAAACTGTCCAGTCCCTACCACAACTGTTGCCCCAGTTACAGACTCTTCTCTGGCCCCAGTGTCTCCCACAACAGTTCCGAGCACAACTGCGGCTCCAGTTTCGGAATCAACTGCGGCCCCAGTTCCGAGCACAACTGCGGCTCCAGTTTCGGAATCAACTGCGGCCCCAGTTCCGAGCACAACTGCGGCTCCAGTTTCGGAATCAACTGCGGCCCCAGTTCCGAGCACAACTGCGACACCAGGTTCAACCTCCAGTTCAGCAACAGAGTAATCCAGAGGTAACTAGCGGTCCATAATTGAATCAAATAAAAAATATGTATATAGAAAATATACTAAAATACATGCACATTTAATAACCATTATGCAACTTATATAATTTTCAATAGTAAAATAAAATAATAATTAATTAACACATAATATTTTTAGATACATTTCTTGATTAGCATATCATAAATTCCGCTAATGCGCCAGCGGCGGGTAAAGAGGGTGGGGAACTTTATATATATACATACATACATAAGTTGGAAGTATGCCAGTTCTAATAATTTATATGCAAGCGTATTGAATGATGTATGTATAATCGAGTGATGTAATACGAAGTCTATACCTAATATAGGTAGTAGTATGATTAAAGGATATTACATTTATACGAAGTATTTCCAACCAATTTCTGAAGGTAGCGTTGAAAGTACAGACGTGATAAGTATTTTTACATGATCAAGTATACTCTTTTTTAGGAAAAGTAATTATCTTGTTTTTTATTCCATTTTCATTAATGTTTATAAGCCCATAAAAAAGTTATACTATAGACTGGAAAATACCCTATAAAAATTGAAAAAAACCCTTAAGCTTAGCTTTAATTCTAAAAAAGAGGCACGAAAAATATATACTTACATCAAATTAATATAAAATAACCCGCTCCCTTATCATTCTTGAATACCTCACATGGAGAGCAAAGATAATAAAGATAAAAATAAGCCCCTAATGTATTCTGGAGAAAAAATAGCGATTTTCTGCCTTTACTATCGCAATGTAATTTATAAAATTTGTTACTGTGGTTGTTATGCTCAGCCGTTTAAAAAGTCAACAGCAGTGTAATGGTAGGATCCATAAACTGCAGTCGTGAAGGCTGACACTTCTCGTATATAAGCTAGCTGCGTGGGCGGAATGGAATCAGTCAAGACGTTTCATTGCAATCCAAGAGACAAATCATGATCAAGTTGATCGCAGTTCTGATTATCGCTTCGCTGGGCGTCAGTGCAGTACAGACTCAAGAGGAGCTCAAATGCGGCGCTTGCATGGCAGAAAACGAGGTGCTTTGTGTATCGCAGTCAACCTATTATTTTTGCTTTAGTGAGTACTTAAGGATATTCGTATGGACTTTCGCTAATAATCTAATATCAATATCGATATTAAATCAGACGGAGAGCCATTTGGCGAAGAGAAAAAATGCCTTGAAGGCCTCGTTTGCAGCAATAATGAAGCAGTCTGCGTGCCTCCATATAAGATCTCCGAAACTATTAAGAACGTATGCGCACCTGTTAAACCCGAGCTTTGCGGCAAATGTGTCCAGGGCTTTCAATACGCCTGTGTGACTGTGAATCAAGCAGCCCGTTGCGTAAATAATGAAATAGCTACCCTCATAGATTGCAAGAGGGATCAGATTTGCATAGCAGACATTGATATCGGTTCCGTCTGTGTGCCCCAGGCTGCCGCTACTTATGTAAGTAGATCTTTTAGAAATAATTAATAATTTATCGAGCGGAATTCCATTTATCCGTTTTCTACAGCTGGGAAAGGAAGCCACTTGCAATAACACCCTCGGGATTCTGGCTACCTCACCAGCACCAACGCCCAGTTACCTCGAACGTCACAAGATCTGCAGTAGGGCAGCGGAGACGGTTCCAGGTTTATATGTATATGCATATGCAGATGAAAACTGCCACACTGCGCTCTACTGCGAGAGACCAAGTGTTACCAGCACCGACTGGAAAAGCATTTACAGAATATGTTCTGCTCCTAAACGTTATTTCGATATGGTTCGTAAATATTGTGTTGCCGATAAGCCGGAACTCTGTAACAAAATTAGGTACACCTTATAAAAATTATATCACTTATATAATATCTGTAAATAAAATCAAATATTCATTAATAGGTAATGCAGCAAACTTATATTGTAACAATGCTTAGCTAAATACATCTTACAAAAAAAAAAAAAGAACGACCGAGACTGCAAACAGCAAACATGTTGTTTTTTTTTTTTTTTTTTTTTGCTTCTACGTCATAAATTCTAAATATGTGATTAGAATATGATGTTCACGTTTTTCGACCAATGTTCGTCTGATTTATGAGGCTTGCAGATGCGTTGCGTTGCGCTTTAGTTTTAGATATACATATACATATGTGCAAAATAATCTTATTTTATTGCTAGTTGTGGCGTACACACATAAACATGCACACTATTTACATACATACATACATAAAGATATACAATGAAAAGTTGCCATTTAATGATTCCTAATATTTCATCAAGACAAGAGCAATATGAATTGTTGTCATTGTCGTTGTTGGTTTTGGTTTGAGTGTTGGTTTCGGTGGTGGCTGCAGCCTGGCTGGCTTTGTCGGTTCGCTGGTTGGGCAAAAGGCGGCGCGCCTGCATTGACAGTGTTTGTTGCGGCAATTAAATATTAAATCAAATGAGTTGGCAGAAGAAATGACGATGGAGGTGGCGCGCAGGCGGACCTGTGTCTGGGACAGAGCAGGCTGCCGGCTGTCGGCTGTCGTCTGTTGGCTGTTAGTTGTTGGCTATTGGCTGAGGCTATTTGGCTAGCCTCAAACTAAATGCGCAAATGGAAATTATGGCCATTGACAACGCACGATTTGCCTGGCACACTGTACGTGGGCAACGGAGAGTGTACGAACTGCAAAAAATAGAAACAGCATTAGAATATATATGTATATAGATATAGTATTCAATATGTAGATGGGCAAGATGATGGATGGATAGCTGATGGCTTTGCACCAACCTTTGGCACTTTTTGCGTGGTTGCCATGTACCCAACACAGAATGATTGCGTCGTATGGCTCCACATCACCTCGCCACAGCTCTGTTTGGGATAGTACAGCAGTGTGAGTGCCCCCGCATAGAGATCCTGCTGTTGTGGCAGCAGTGGTGAGTCCAAGAACTTTTGCTTGAATGTCTTGTGTAGGCTGGTCACAGCGCAATCACTACTGAAAGCGCCATTGCATATCTCGCGGGCAAGCAGTGTCTTCATCAGGTACTCTCCATTGCCTGTCGTGCACGTCGCAATGGCCAACTCATCCGTGTCGGTGGCCCAGCAACCGGCGCCATAGGTAGCCGCCTGACCAACACGACCAGGCACCTTGAGTAGAATGCCACCGGAACTGCAGCCGGCTGCAGTATTCCCAGCACCATCGACACACACAGCGCCAACGGTGTCCAAGGCGGCAGCTAACTCCACCTCGTTGCTCGGCTCGGGAACAGCCTCGGCAGCTTCGACCGTTTTGCTGTCGCCGACAACTAGATCGTATTTGCTCTTATAATGATTATAATGGAATTTCGCTTTCGATGAGATTAGCACATTGGGATCGACCATAGCACAGCCCACTTGTTCGGCATATTGCTCTGCACCGCTGGCTGCCAGCACCATGGGTGGAATGCGTTCCAGTGGCTGTTGATCCGATTGGCCGTCACAAATGCGACGCGCTAGCTGTATAGGATTCTTTACTCGACTGACATTGGTGCATGCACCAAAGTTGAGGGTGGTTCCATTCATTATGGCCGCATCGCATTGAACGGAGCCGTCTAAGCAGAGATTGGAGCCAAAGCCGGCGTTTGTGTGGCCACAGTTCTCCAGGCGCATTATTGCCGCCTCGCAGGCATCGATAGCGCTGCCGCCATTGCGCAGAATTTCTGTAGCTCGTATGCATGCCTCTTTGATGACGCGTTGGTATTTGGACTCGTCGATGCAATTTCCAGCTCCTGAAATAAATGAGCGTGTCCGTAAATCGTAAATAAATACATATACATATACGCTCATCAATCAAAACGAACCTGTATGCACCGCAACGAAACCAGCCATATTGTTGTTGTATAGTTGCTGCTAATGCCAACTGCACTCGCGTTTCGCGGCCTTTGTTTACAGCGGACAGAAGCTATTTTAGTATTTGTTTGTTTAAATAATTTTGGAAACTGAGACTAGAACGACCGTTTGCTAAATGCGCCAAAATACTGATTTCATTACAAACTTATTAAAAATACTATAAATTGTGCTTTTCAATACTGGTCTAACTGCACATTAGGGGTATCCAGTTTTACTCTTATCAGTTTCAGCGATACCATAAAATACGATTTTAGTATTTGTATGGTAAAAAGTATCGCTAAAAACATTTATTGTTAATAAGTAAGAATTCAATACATTGTATAGACGATTTCAAATAAAATCCAGAATTAGCAAACCTTAAGAGCCGTTAATTTTGCCAGGCCCATGGCAAAATACCATACCTTAAATATATTTTATTAAACGTTCATCTCAGATTTACTTAAGGTAATGAAAACATAAATGTTCTTAAAGGTATTAGAATCATTTATATTAATTTGAGTAAATAACGGTCGCTCAACAGCTTAAAATATATTTTGGATTTACAAACAATATCGAAAGTATTTTCGCGGTATGCTTAACCTGGTCACACGGAATTGTGACCGTGATTTTTGCAATAAAGCAGAACAATTGAAGCTAGAAAAGTAAGATGTATTAATTTAAAAATGTAATTAACCAGTGCACTATTTAGTTCTGATCTGGAAAAATGTGCGCACATCTCTTTAGACAAATTGGAGATTAAGTGTAGACAGCAAGTGCAAGTGAAATGTGAAGTGTTTTTTTTTGTTTGTCCAAGTCGAACAACTGTTTGTGTGCTTGTATATGTGTGAGTTGTGTGTGACGTCTGGTTGCACTTGTTATGCACTAATACCAATTAAAATATGTAAAGAGTAATATAAAAAAAAAAAAAAAAAAAACAGCTGCAATATTGCAACGCAAAAGAAAAGAAGAGATTTACCATAATCATTGAAATACCAAACTAAGCGACGCTTTAATACACGCGTTTAAAATACTACGTTTTAATAAAAATGGACAAATTTCCATTAAAAGGTAGCAGAGAGGCTGCAGCGGAAGGCAACAACTATATAACCGCATATCAAACAGTCATGAAAAAGGTATGTAAGAGTCTAGTGCTGGCAGTCAACGTGATACGAAATAAGCTGCATATAAAATATGTGCTCATACATAAATTATTTGTGCACATTTTAGGGGCGGAATTAAGTTTTGTAAAAGTGTCTACGTGGGTGTCAGGGCTAAACAGCTGAGCAGCCGCATGTACACCCTACCCCACTCCGCCCCCTTGCCTTTGGACACATTTAAAGGCAAAAATACCATTTAAGCCTATCAATATGTTTGTGCGTGAGCAAATAATTATTGTGTCGCCTAGTGCTAATATGCTGTGCAAAGTACATGAATAGCGATAAACTGATAAACTGAATTATCGATTTTACAGTCAAATGGCCATAGCATAGGAGCAGGAGACGGCGATCATCCTTTGGCCCCACACTCAAAGCAATCCTATACGGCAGCGGCAACCACGTCACTCACCGCAAACACAGACGACGAGGATATGATCGATATAACGCCACGTTCTAGTCCAGGCGATCTTATCGGCGGCTCCAGCGGCTATCATCGTGAGACTGTTACCGAATCGGATACGGAACGCGACTTTGCGCCAAATCAGCGAGCAATGCACCATCATCATCATCATCAACATCAACATGTGCCAACTCACAGCGCTTTCGGTGACCCCATGGATGGTGAGTATCAAAACGAGATCAACATAAGAAATCAGTGTTTGTTTATCTCACTTATCATCTTAATCTCGTTAGCCCGGGAGACGTCACAACAATTGTGACTGTACTTGCTTTTATTGATATTAATATACATATACACATGTACAAGTATGTGTTTGCATATGTATGCGGGTCATCCCACTCGTTTCCATTAATTTCGTTTAATTATTAATAATATACACAGACATGTGCACGATTCCAGTCTGTATTCCTAGTTAAAAATAACTGCAAGCTGTTGTATTGTTATATCGTCGATAAGAAATTTTTCACTGAAAGCATAACGTTATTTTAGAAAAATATTAAAAATATTATTTTGAATCTTAGCTTTGTTTTGTAATATTGATAGCTGATTGTTTACAGCCACTGTTCAAGAATCAAGTATCACATTCAAAATGTGTTTAGCAAATGATCAATTTAAATCAAAGCACTCTACTTTGCGATCATGTCTCTCACTTTAGGAGCACTATCGTTCTATGGCTCCTCAGAGGTACATGATGAGATACCAGGCATTGGGCAGTACGAGGATTTTCATACCATCGATTGGCAGCGGGATATTGCTCGCGATCGCATGCGACATCGTTACATAGTCAAAAAGCGACAGGATTCACTTTGGGATTTGATAAAAGTAAAAATTATATGCCCTAATCTCTCCATGTTATCACGACTAATTGTCATCTACTTTTGCAGGGAGCTATTGACGCAGGCTCTGGCTGGCTATGCGTCCTGCTTGTGGGCATTGCAGCAGGCTGTGTTGCGGGCATGGTGGATATAGGCGCTAGCTGGATGTCAGATCTAAAGCACGGAATATGTCCGACTGCCTTTTGGTTTAATCGCGAACAGTGTTGCTATCCAGATAAGCAGTCTGTCTTCGAGGAGGGAAACTGTTCCATGGTAAGTCTTATTAAATGAAAATTCACTCTATAACACCATCATTAACACACTTTCATTTTAGTGGAAGACGTGGCCGGAGCTCTTTGGGCTTAATCGCACAGGCACGGGTCCGAATATTGTATCGTATATCTTATATATTTTATGGGCATTGCTTTTTGCCTCACTAAGCGCGTCGCTGGTGCGCATGTTTGCCCCTTATGCCTGCGGATCTGGCATACCGGAGATTAAGACCATATTGTCGGGCTTTATCATACGCGGCTATCTAGGCAAATGGACTCTGTTGATCAAATCGGTGGGTTTGATGCTCTCCGTGTCTGCAGGTCTAACACTTGGCAAGGAAGGACCAATGGTGCACATTGCTAGCTGTATTGGCAATATATTTTCGCATCTCTTTCCCAAATATGGGCGAAACGAGGCCAAAAAGCGTGAAATTCTATCAGCAGCATCTGCCGCTGGCGTCTCTGTTGCTTTTGGAGCGCCTATAGGCGGAGTTCTGTTCTCGCTGGAGGAAGTGTCCTATTACTTTCCACTGAAGACTCTGTGGCGCTCATTCTTCTGTGCGCTTATTGCCGCTTTTGTTCTACGATCACTGACGCCATTTGGCAATGAACATTCCGTGCTGTTCTTTGTGGAATATAACAAACCTTGGATATTCTTTGAGCTGATTCCGTTCGTCTTTCTGGGCATCATGGGTGTAAGTAGTATATTTAAATACTAATAACATGTGGTTATTTATTTCCTTGTATGTCTTTCAGGGTGTCATTGGCACGTTCTTTATAAAGGCAAACTTGTGGTGGTGCCGTTACAGAAAGTTTAGTAAGTTGGGCCAATATCCTGTTAGTGAAGTGCTCTTTGTTACGTTGGTAACTGCCATCATTTGCTATCCGAATCCCTTCACACGCATGAACATGAACGAGCTCATCTTTCTGTTGGTTAGCAAGTGCTCGTCCGGAGACTCAAATCCTTTGTGGTAAGTATAGCCGCTTTACAGCTTGGGTATAAGCTAAAACTAAAGCTATTGTTATTATCTGACAGTGATTACAAGCGAATGAATATCAGTACAGGAACTAGTTTTATAGAGGTGACAGAGCCAGGTCCCGGCGTATATCGTTCCATTTGGCTGCTGGTATTGACATTTGTTCTGAAGCTGGCACTGACCATATTTACGTTTGGTATAAAAGTGCCTTCGGGTTTGTTTATACCATCGCTGCTGTTGGGCGCCATTATGGGTCGCATTGTTGGCATCGGTGTGGAGCAATTTGCGTACAGTTATCCCAACATTTGGTTCTTCACCGGAGAGTGTGCGGATAGCAATCTAATAACACCTGGATTGTATGCGGTTGTCGGAGCTGCCGCCGTACTTGGCGGAGTCACGCGTATGACTGTCTCCTTGGTGGTCATAATGTTCGAGCTAACTGGCGGAGTGCGTTATATTGTGCCATTAATGGCGGCTGCCATGGCTTCTAAGTGGGTTGGCGATGCGCTGGGCAGACAAGGAATATACGATGCGCATATTGCCTTAAATGGTTATCCGTTCCTTGACAGTAAAGAGGAATTTGCGCATACAACGCTGGCAGCGGATGTCATGCAGCCAAAGCGCAATGAAACATTAAATGTCATAACACAGGATTCCATGACGGTGGAAGATGTTGAGAATCTGCTTAAGGAGACCGAGCACAATGGCTATCCTGTCGTTGTGTCTAGAGAAAATCAATATTTAGTTGGCTTTGTACTGCGCAGGGATCTTAATTTGGCTATTGGTGAGCTAATTACTTATCTTTTCAAGTTGTATATATTTAAGTCATTCTTCATTGTCAGGTAACGCAAAGCGTCTTGTCGAGGGCATCAATAGTAATTCTATAGTATTATTTACGTCCACGACACCCACTCAAAATCTGGGACCGCCACCACTTAAACTAAAGAAAATTCTTGATATGGCGCCCATCACGGTGACTGATCAAACGCCCATGGAAACTGTGGTCGACATGTTCCGTAAACTGGGTCTGCGTCAAACGCTTGTCACACATAATGGGTAAGTAGATTATTACATTAATAATTGTAGAAATAATTAAACAATATTTGTAACTATTTGCAGTCGCTTGTTGGGTGTTATAACGAAAAAGGATGTACTACGGCATGTTAAACAAATGGATAATGAAGATCCCAATACTGTGCTCTTTAATTAAGTTGAATTTATTAGCCAATCAGGCAGATGCCTAGTTATTATTATTATTACTATTATTATTATTATTATTATGTGTACTATTATCGCAAAACCAACAAAACTTCATATGAATAAGCGGAAAGTTGAGAGCACGAGTAAAGTGATTAGGAAATTTACGAACGGAATCGGATAGCGTGATGGATTTAGCAAAATTGTGTGCAGTACTACTATATACATATATACATATGTATAGTATATATTAATTGGTATATAACTATACACATAAATATATGTTTGTGTCGTTAATGTTAATTGTATAATTTATTAAAAACTAGTGCAAAATTTCGCAGCATATTCATAATTTCCACTCTGTAATTATCATTTGTAAACGCAATCAAAATAATACTGTCTACATTTATTTTAATAATATGTAATCATCCTATTTTTATACCTTTGTACATCACGCGCATGTTTGATTGAATGTTTGAAAATATTTTTTTATTTAAAGCAATTTTTACGCTGGCAGCACAGGCAATAGTATGAAAGAAATGATTTTATTTAATAGAAAGTTAACAAGAATGGATTATATGTTTTGCATTTCGTTCATACCTTATATATATAAATATATATATATATACCAATATTGTATTTTGTTAGACCTCTGTGAAATTTTAATCTAAACTCGTGTAAATAGCATTGAAAGATGATGAAACCATTAATAAACTTAAGCGAAGCTATATAAAAGTCTATATTATATGAAACATATGCTATATACTACTTTTATGTACTTCAGATATATATATACATTACTTCTATGTGGGTAACGTCATTAGTAGTAAAAAGCAATACTTTAATATTTGAAAGTTTATGTAAACAAACTTTGCACCAAAATTCATTTTTATTTTGCCTAGGTATGGAGGCATTCATCATTTCATAGTTATTTATCACATATTTTATATTCAGTTATGTTGAAAAATTAACAAAGTCACAGAAAATTTTAATTTAGAAAGATGTTCACAGTTTTGCGATTTGCCAAAGGTAAGATTAGCAGACAAGAAAATTATATATTTTCTATAATTAATTTGTCTTTATTTATAAAGCATGTCCCAAAATTGGGTTTCAAACTTGTCATCAAGGCGAGAGTCATTCTCATGGACATCGGCTCCCATTGAAAACAGATAAATTATTACATAATGGGTCGACATTTTTTAAGAAGACGGGAGACTACGACAAAACTATTGATATAACAATGGTAACGTCCAAAAGTAAAAGAAAAAGGACGATATGCCCGACTCCGTCTGTCGACGACAATGATGCGGAAGCCTCTCCCAGATGCGTTAAGCAACCATGCTCGAGAGATAAAAGTACTTTTGAAATGTTTATAATGAAGCACGCAGGCGAATCAAACAATAGATTGTCCAATACTGTTAGTACCAAGCAGGCGGCACCATATCAAGAGGAGTGTGCCTCCAAGTATGAGGAGACCATCCCTAGTGAAAAGGAGAAAGACTCTAATGTGAATGAGAATTCCTCCGATGAGGAGAATGCCGGTTTATTTATTGGCTCTAGTGAAACAACAGTTAGTTCCAATAAGAAAGCGGCAGACTCTAATGAAGTTCCCCGTAAAAATCGGGCTGTTTCCAGACAAATAGCGACTGTTAGCAGAAACGAAGAGACTAACTCTCTTGATTACCCAAACGTATCGACTGAAAAACCATTTACTCGCCGAAAGCAAATTGCCTCTTATAAACAATATGCATTGGCAGATAAAGAAATTAGTAGTGGCAGTGAAGAGCCCTCTGCCGTCAGACAAAATTTTAGTTCATCTAATGAAAGCTCCGCTGGATTAGAAGATACTGCAGTCAGTGAGAGCTCAGGTAGTGAGGGTTGGACTCGCTTATGTGCAAGTTTGACATCTTTCAATAATCCAAATTTTTCGACACATCATATGAGCGCAGGCGGCATAAATACGCCTGCCGCAAATAGAAGAGAGACTATTTCATCTTCTCAAAATCCGACGTCCAATAGAAAGCAAAGTACAGCTAATAAGCCTTCAGCTTCCAGCCAGAAAGATCAGTGTTCTTCCTGTGAAAATCTTTCATATTTGTGTGACGAACCGATAGCCTATAAAAAAGTGACTGGCTACACAATCGGCTCGCCCATTGTTGAGCCCAGAGACTCTTATGACAGAAGGCCTGATGTAAAGCAGACCGCCTCCAGTACGGAAGAATACGGTAGAGCACAACCAATCTACAGTCAACCAAGTGAAGAACCGACGACCCATAATAAAAACGAGATTGTCTTCAGTACATCTACGTCCTGTGAAAATCCCATCTATAAGACAGAGCTATCAGGTCAAACAGACAGTAACGTCGACATGAGTGAAAACCAGGTCGAAGCCATGTCGAGCAACTCGAATGATATCAAGTCTACTGCTATGCAGAAACCATTAGGATTCAGCAGAAAACTGATTGTCTTGTGTGAAAAAGTATCTGGTTTCTGTGGAAAGCTAATAATTTCAAGCAAGAAACCGAGTGGCAAGGCTTAACAATGAAACACAAATATTAATAAATACAATAAGTTATTAACTTAACTTACTTTTAGTTACTCTCTTAAATTACTCTCAATATAGAATATTTGAAACTCATTTCCATAGAGGCCTGTGATCAACCAGCAGCCATTGTCGCTGATGCGTATGAAGTGTCCCCGACCACGTAGGCCACCCTTTGCGTGAGCATGGGCACCATCGCTGATCCTGTAATACTCCAAGGCGCCGTCATTGCTGGGGCAGTAGATGATGTTGGCATCACGGCTGCAGGCGATGGCGTTCTTGAAAGGCAACGGAATTTGCACAATCAATTGCGCAGTGTCCTATAAAAGAATAAAACATGCTTTTACATATATGTATACATATATATATATATTTTACATATACATATATATATATATGTATATATAGATATTCTCATACATACCTCTTCTTCGTGTCGCATATCGTGATAGTAGGCCTGGCCACTCAAATCGCAGCTGACCACAATTTGGTGGCCATCCATTACCGTCTTCAGCAGCGTGGATACCATGAAACGATGCTTGCGGAGTGCGAGCAACTGGAATTGCTTGCTGGATCTATCTAAGGCTGGCTGCCGACCTGAGCTCCAGCAACGGTAGACGCCTCCACTATTAGTACCCAGCACGAAGTCGTCCAGGCCGAGAGACACCATGGTCGTTAGCTCTGCACCAACTAAAGTTGGCAAGGAATATCTAAAGAACACATCTATAGAACGTTTTTATATTATCTGCTGTTAGCTTACTCCCAATCCAAGGTCATTTGTTGAGTCACCAACCATTGGTGCACTGTGCCATTAGCATAACAGGCGAGCAGGCGTTGCTCCGTGACCCAATCGAGCGCCACAGCAGCGCCTTGTGTAGAGGAGACGTTGTGCAACTGTTTGATTTCCGCTGTTGCCTGTTCGTACAGCCAAATGAAGAGCTCTCCATCCATAGTGGCGCCGGCAAAGATATTCTTATTAAAATTATTTGTGCAAAGGCTGCGCAAACACGATTTGAGAGGCAAAGCTTTGGCCTCCGAGTACACAACAAAGTTGCCATGGGGCATACGCTGCGGCACAAAGAGTTTCAGTTGCTGTTCCATATGTTCGCACCAATCGTCGTGAGGTGCCACAGTTGTGACCACCAGTACGGGCGCATTGTTGGTATGCACGCACAGCCAAATGGCCAATCCTTGCGAGTTCTCAATGCTGCTCATTGTTAGCTTCTGGTAAGCGTGCACTTGCAGCTGCTCCTGCAGTGTAACCTGATTTGACTGCTGCTCCTCCATGAGTGGCGTTGGTTGACTTAATTCCTGCTCGACCAGTGGACAGATCTGCCGCAGCCATTTGGCCAAGGCACGCTCGTCATATTCCACATTTTTAATGCTACTGCTGCTGCAGCTTTGCTCTGTTTGTGTGGCCACATGCTGCTTCTGCTGTGTCTCGGTAGCCGTGTCTAAATGGGGTGGCGGAGGATCCGTGCCAGTGCAATTGTCTACCAGCACACTTTGCTTTTCTAGCGGCTGTGCAGCTGGGAATTCGATCACAGGAGAGCTATAATGCGAAAGTACATCCATTCTGCAACCAATTCACTTTTCTGTGGACACAACACAAGTCAGCCGTTGGCATAGCAACTAATAACTACCCATGCTCACCAAACCTGAAACCTATATTGTTTGAAATTTCCGTTAGAATTTATAGACTTATCGATCAATTTCCCTATTTTGTTAACCTATCGGTATTTCGCTAACAACTTATGCTTATCGATGAACCTATCGTGTTTTAAGTACTTGGTTCAACCTCTAACGGATTATTCTCAGTAGTCCTTGGAAAAACATCAAATTGAAGCTGTCACAGAAGGAGAAACTTTCATTTGCAAACAGAATCGAGTCAGTTGCAAATAAAACTGTGCTGAGAAATAAAAAATAAATCTAATTAAAAGCAATTAAAAGATAATAAATCTTGTTAAAGAATATCCATTTTTTTCTGTCGAATAATAAAGCTTAATTTGTTAAAAATGCAGATCTTGTCTAGATTGGCAACGGGTAAGATTTTAGACTTTTCGCTTTCTTCATGTGAGGTTAGTTTAAATTTATTATTTGCAGCTTGCGCTAAAATCGGCCTTAAGGTAAATCGTCAAGTTGGCCAACCAGCAAAGGCTAACTTTTCATTGCAGAGGCGTTGCCTTTACAGTACACCGCTGCTGAAGGATGATGACGACAAATGTAATAAGTCTTGTCCGGATGAGGAAAGTAAGTGAAAATTGCAAATATTTGGCGATCGCTAACTTTAATATAACCTCTTTTGAACAGGCACAAAAGATTCTTGTGAAAGTGGCGCAAAAGGTGGAAAGGAAGGTGGCGGAGATAAGTCAAAGTTGGTTGGGAAAGGTAGAGAGGGCATAATTCACGCTGTCATTGGACCAGTAATCGATGTTTACTTTCCTGATGAGATGCCAGAAGTGCTGAATGCCATGGAAGTACAAGACGCCCCTATTGGTCGTTTAGTATTAGAGGTAAGATTTGTTTATTCGAGTAATTAGATATTTTTTTAAAGCGAAAGGACAACTAGGTCTTTCATCATCTAGGCAACAATGTTGTCCGGTGCGTCGCTATGGATTCCACGGACGGGCTCAAACGTGGACAGAAAGTCATTGATACTGGGTACCCAATTAGGGTGCCTGTGGGCAAAACTGTATTGGGTCGCATCATAAACGTGGTGGGTGATCCAATAGACGAGCGCGGCGAGATAAAGAGCGAGTTTTACTCATTTATACACAATGAAGCTCCACTCCTGGAGGAATTGAGCGTAAAGCCTGAGATTTTAGTCACGGGCATCAAGGTGATTGATCTGCTTGCACCCTATGTAAAGGGCGGAAAAATTGGTCTCTTTGGAGGAGCTGGTGTTGGAAAAACGGTGCTAATTATGGAGCTCATCAATAACATTGCCAAGTCCCATGGCGGCTATTCAGTGTTTGTTGGTGCCGGAGAACGTACCCGAGAGGGCAACGATCTGTACCATGAGATGATCGAGACCAAAGTTATTTCTCTAGAGGATGATACGTCGAAGGTGGCGCTCGTCTATGGCCAAATGAATGAGCCACCTGGCGCTCGCAGTCGGGTTGTGTTGACTGGTCTAACTATTGCTGAATACTTTCGGGATATTGATGGTCAGGATGTACTACTTTTCATAGATAATATATTCCGATTCACTCAAGCTGGCTCTGAGGTGTCCGCGCTGCTTGGTCGTATACCCTCCGCCGTTGGCTACCAGCCCACGCTCGGCACAGACATGGGCACCATGCAAGAGCGCATTACCAGTACTAAAAATGGTTCGATTACTTCCGTGCAAGCGGTCTACGTGCCGGCAGATGATTTGTCTGATCCGGCGCCAGCTGCTACGTTTTCCCACTTGGATGCAACTACTGTACTGTCCCGCCCAATTGCCGAATTGGGTATTTATCCAGCTGTGGATCCGTTGGACTCTTCGTCCCGTGTTCTCGATCCCGATATTGTGGGTGACGAGCACTATAATGTCGCCCGGGCCGTGCAGAAAACACTGCAGGGATACAAGTCATTGCAGGACATCATTGCCATTCTTGGCATGGATGAGCTTTCTGAGGAGGACAAGCTAACAGTGGCAAGGGCTCGCAAAATGCAACGTTTCCTCTCTCAGCCATTCCAAGTCGCTGAGGTGTTCACTGGCACTCCCGGCAAGCTAGTGCCTGTAGAGAAGTCTGTGGATGGGTTTAAGCGGCTGCTAAATGGCGAATACGATGACATACCGGAAATAGCATTTTATATGGTCGGGGACATTGATGAAGTTCTGGCCAAAGCAAATCAGTTGGCAACAAGCATGGCCGCCGATGGACCCCCCAAACCCAAGGAAGCGCCCAAAGATGACAAGAAAGGAAAAGAAGACCCGAAAGCTAAGGACGATCCGAAAGCTAAGGCCGATCCGAAAGCTAAGGCCGATCCGAAAGCTAAGGCCGACGCTAAGCCACCCAAGGCAGAGGCTAAAGATGCAAAGAAACCAGAAAAAGGAAAAGATGACAAAGCCAAGGACAAGAAAGATGATCCCAAAGACAAGAAGAAATAGATTTTCTGCTACCATATAATAATTATCATTGCAATTGAATTTATACCATTTCGATGAAAATATAGATTTTTACAAATAAATGACTGTTGATTGAAATTCATAAATATTTTTTGTTTATTTGCATTAACTAAAATGAAGAAAACTTGTTAGTAAATATAATAAATATTATGAATTATTTTTTATTCTTTAATGTCAGTTAATATGATTTTCTTTTTTTAAATTAAATATGGTGCGCAGTCTGTCGAACAGTAATCAGCTGTTCGAACAGCTGATTTTATTTGAACCGGCTAAATTGTTTTGGTTACGTACAGAATGTTTCGTGCGGTTCAATTTCGCCTGGGCATACGCCTTTATTCTGTGAAGCCGGTGAAAAAGGATGCCAATAAATATACTGATACCATAAACCTGCCCAGAACCAAGTTTCCGAACCGTTTAAGTGCACCCAAACGCGAGGAACTGGAACGAGAAATTCTAGATGTGAGCTAGAGCTAGAGCGCATTGCAGTTAAAATTGATTAAATGTTCTTTACAGCATAAGATTGCGTCCGCTTACCAGTACCAGGAACAGCACAAACGTAAGCCCGCTTTTGTGCTACACGATGGACCGCCGTATGCCAATGGCCAGCTGCACATGGGTCATGCTGTTAACAAAATACTCAAGGATATTACGTTGCGTCAGCGCGTGGCACATGGACAGCAAGTGAATTACATTCCCGGCTGGGATTGTCACGGCTTGCCCATTGAGTTGAAGGCAACGAGCGCTGCGACGGGCGAGCAGAGTGCATTGGAAATACGGCAAAAATGTGAGTTTGCCTGTGTAGAGGTTACATAGTTGTCAAGTTGTATAACTCTTTCCCATCACGTGCAGCGCGTGCTTTTGCCTTGGAGGCCATCGAATCGCAAAAGGAGGATTTTCGCAGTTGGGGCATTTTGGCCAGCTGGCAGCC